GGCCTGATGGGCCACTTGGCTCGTATGCAGACTTTACCTTACCTTTACCTAGTAGAGCTTTTAAAACAATTGGTGAAGCTTGGACATCAAAATGGCACAAGCCATTTCACTGCCCTCCTTCCTTAATTCTCCTTATGGTTAAGAACCTCATCGACTTAAACTTGCTGCCAAATTTTGCAATTGCACAAACAGTCTTGCCACTACAAGCTTGGGGGTGGGGAGCAAGAAAGTTTAACACATGAGGCAAGAGAGGGAGGGTATGAAAGAAAGAAAACAGAAATAGACGTTTTTAATTTGGGCAGTTTGTTGCCCCATTTCAGATGATGTGATAATACCCTTGAAAATTCTTGCTTTCAAATTTTCAAATAGTTGCATGTATATGAATAAATAATCTTTAGATGCACAAAAGAACAATTCTCTAGGGAATATCATGTAGCTAGTCTGTAATGGGAAAACAAGCTGCCCAAGCTAAAAAGGCCTATTGGCAGAAAAAAATTAATTTCAAAAAATCTTCTTCAATTAAATCTATTATTTAATAATCAAAATATATGTGTCAGGGGAGAAGGTACCGGAAGACTCAATGTCCACTCTCATGTTTATTTTACCCATTAAACCATGATCTGAAAGTCCTACATGAACTTGCAACAGCATAGTACCTGAAAACAACTGATTTAATGTAGTTTGCATTTAACAAGGTGTATCAAGAAACAAAAAAAGGCTATAGTAAATGAGATGTTATTTGTTCCCACAGCTGCAACCAGAAGTCCATGCAACATCACATCACATCTTAATGAGGAAGAAACAGTCTTCCCCTCGACACCAACATCATTAGGCCATCAAAACTCTGGTTTTACTCCAAGCTCTGAAGTGATCAACAGTCCATTTAATTTTGAGATGCATTCAGACATGATCCAGCAGTTAAACAAGTCACCTGGTGATGGTTTTCTCTTTCAAAGCCGGCCAATGTTTGACCACAGTTCTGTGGATAAAGAGAAGGAACAGGTCAGGTGCTTCAAGCAGCGTGTTAGGCAGAGGAGCAATGATATTTTCACTTGATTGAATTTCACTGATACATTGCAACTTAATCTAACCAAGGCCACCTGACACAATTTCCAACAAATTATCCAAAATGACCATAAATCTGTTACTTTTGTAATGAACAGCTTGATTACATGGATAATTTGTTGGAAAACTATTGTTAACCTTCATGATTTTTATTTGCTAATTGTGGAAAATTTTGTCGGGTNGACCAGTTGCTAGAGTAGTCTGCAGACTGGGGGTCAGTGCTTTTGGGTTACATCTTCAAACATCCCCTCTTAATACACCCTTTGCATAAATGGTGCCTAAATTTGAATAACAATACTTTGCACATCCTTAGCCGCGTACTTATGTTTCCAGACAAAGGATTTTTCACATGACTCAGACTGTGGGGCTTAAGATGTATAAAAATTGTTATTCAAATTTAGGCGCCTTTTTATGCAAAGGGTCTATTAAAAGTATGTATGTATATTATACACTGGTAGGCAAAATAAAAATGACAAAAGAATGAATAACAAGGAGGGTCTTCACAGTAATGAGTAACCTGGAAGTTATAAAATAAGTGCGACAACTGTTGTCCACCATTCAATGGGTATGTTCTTTTTTGACGAATTTCAGGCAAATACAGAGAATGCACCATTCTTATTCAACATGCAAGAGACAAGAAATAATCCAGGACATACTGGTTAGTTACACGTTTTGTTTTAAATACTATCAGTATCAAATGTTGACCATGATTCAAACTTACTGTGTAATATTGCAACAGCATTCATTCTCAGCAAGCAGGATTTATCATAACTGTTAATAGCTGATTCTAATAGGTGGGGATAAGGTGCTCTGTGCCAGTGGCAAAACTTCTGGTGAAAGGTGTTATTGTTGCACTAAGTAGACAAGGGCAAACCCTATCACCAAACACACTGAGCTGCAATGAAACTAAATATGTACATCAAAAGAGGCATCACACAAAATTTGCTGCAAACATGACGGTCATGTGTAGACCAATACAATGTACATGCTTTTGCACTGCAGGCCATTGTTAAGCCTTTCCTGCTAAAATTTGCATTTAATTAGGGTTCAGAAGTTTCAAGGATTTTACTTGATGTAAATCCAGGAGTAAAATTTAAATTATTTTGCAAGCAAATTTGAGAGTTTGGAACTCTGTTCTGTCAAGGCAGTATCTAGGAAAAAAGTGCTCTAAAAGTCCTAAACTATGTTTGTTGGTTTGTCTGCTAACACCTAGACATCGGCATGACAAGATCAAAAATTTGAGAAAAAAAAAAAATAAATAAAGCAACATTCCAGCCAGAATTATAATTCCAATGAAGATGTATACTTCCAAATTATCTCTGCATTCTTTTATGTTTATCTTTGAACTAAATCAACTCAAGTTTTATTTTTAAAAATTCTTCATTAAAAAGAATCCCATAAAAACCACGCAATGGATTATGCAACTTTGTAAGGAATTTTGAGGCCTCTTATATTAATATATCTGAAGAGGTCAGTGGGGGATTATATAAAGAGAGAGTTGTGAAGATATCAGCTTTCCCCTAGATAAATTCCTTGGACAAGTGCGTTTTCCTTTCGTCAATTTATTATGTGTTCTCAAAGCTTGAAATTTCTAGAAAGAGGAATGGAAGGAGAGATTTAATTTGGAGGCAATAAACTTAGTGCATTGTGGGGAAAAAGAGGCAAGTGCATGAATGCAAATTAAACTTTATATTGAGGCGGGAGCTCAGTTTTCTTTCATTAAAAATAAACAAAAAAAAATTCTGGAGGGTTTATGCAAACTGTGTATATGTGGCAATGGCTTGTCACATGCTCCAGTCAAATGGGATTGAATTTTGAGTTGGGTCAGACATAGGGTAGAGAAAATCAAAGATTCTTGTCTGAAATAGGAAAAGGGTTTCAAGAAACTCGCTGCACACCCCTGCCCAATTTTTCTGGGAGTGCCCTCACCCCTAGGCCCAGCTGTCTTTCTGTCATGTAACGCTACCCTGTAAAATGATTTATGGCAGATCAGTTTATCTTGGATGGCAGTGTCTGCTCAAACCATAACAACATGGAATAAACCTAGTGGACATAGTGGGGGGGGGGGGAAATTAATCCAAAAACCATCCCAAGGCAAGAGTGTGGATATTTCCTGGAAAAACACATTCTGAGCCTCATATTAAAGTTGTTTAGTCAAGGAGGAAGTCACTGGATAACCCTCCTTACTATCAAATGATAAAGCTTTTTAGCAATAACCTTGGATGTTATTGAGAGCTGTCTTTTCATGCCTTCTTCACTGGGACAGGTGGTGAATTTCATTTGGCTGGAAAAACAACAAACCTCTTTGGACCACCAGTATCTGGAGAAAGTAGCAATGGTGGAGGGTTCTTTGGAACAAGCATGTCACCTGCATTGAATGGCTGTTCCATCTTTGGAGATGCTACACCTAATCAACAAACACCAGGATCTGATGAGTTCAGCTTTTCCTTTGGTGCTACATATCCAAACACAAATCCAAACAGATCTGCTGCATTTAGCTTGTTTTAGAACTGGGACATCGATGAGAAGGAAAGAAATAAGGCTTCCACCTTATCATCAATTTGCAGATTGTTTTAGTGTGCACTGATAAAAAAAATGTTTGAAGTTTGGCTTGTGAGCAACCTTCACGCCCTCTTGATGCTTTAGAACAGATAAGGTGTTCTGTTAACCTACAAAATGATTTGGTATGCATTTATTTCAAGTCATTCACTTTTAGTTAATTTTATAATCTAGTGAATAGTATAAAATGAACAGGAAATTGGGGGAGGAGTGGGAGGAGGGGGAGGAGGGGGTGTAAACCTGGAAAACTGCTGGATGGGCCAGCTTAATCATTGTGGCTTAATACCCGGGCCATGGAAATGCATACAGGGATGGCAACAAATAAAAAAGATTTCTCAGATTAACATTAAAATTATCCTAAACAAGTACACATCTAGAACGGTCTATAAGGGTACAAAGAGTGCTAATCAAGTGGCAGCAAAGAATCTGAATCAAACTAACTAGGGCAAAAAAAGGTCTTGTTTACAAGGACTGTAGGTTAAATTAGCTGATACCATTTCCTTAAAACTTACACTGGTTTAAGTTTGAGTTATTAAACGGGTTGTTTGAATTCTGTGACCCAGACAGTTCCTGTTTAGGACCTACCCGGCAGGAAACACGACTTGGTGATTAAAATCTTGGTTTAAACTAATCGGATCAATTAACCTCAAACCAAGCCGTGACAGAGTTTGTGTGTTGTGTTGATTCCATTTCTTCAGTACTCAAATACACTTTTTCGTCGACACGACAGGGTAAATACAGCACTGTGTGCCAGTTTGCATTAAATTAACGGCCTATCGCAAACATAAACACATCTGGAGTATAAAGGTGTTTATTTTGTTTCAAGTGAATTCCAAATACCAGAGATTTCTTCACTGACAGTTTCCTGTGTCTTGTCTTCATGATCAGCATAATCAATAGGCAGACTCTTACTGCAAGGTAATACTATTAAGCTCACTAAGTCTCTAAAACTCACTGGCTGGGCTTATTTAGATATCAAGCGAAGCATGAAACCGGCGCAGTGATCCAAATGATTTTGCGGCATTTTCACTCAAAAAACGTCGGGTCGGAAGTCCTTTGAGCGGAACTTTGTGCGGAATCGTGACCCGTGTCTTCGCGTGAAACAGATTTTTCAAGCATTTGACTTGAACGTGCCTCGTGCATACAGCACTTACCACTCGCTTCATCCCCAGATTTTAAGACGGTTGGTGCCCCTTTTTCACCGGCAAGATCAGGGAAATACCTCCGATCCGCGCGAACCATAAATTTCTGATCTTTGTGATGAATGTGTTGTTGTCTGCTTCGATTGTCAAACGCCGCGCTTTGATTGGCCGACACCTACCATGTGACCCAACAGTGATTGACGTGCCAGCCATGCAACAGAAGTTCTTGTTCATGTTGGTGTGGTGAAGAGTGTATTGATCAAAATGGACGAAACGAAGGTTATATACCACATAGATGACGAAGATACGCCGTACCTAGTGAAGCTTCCTAAAAGTCCTACAGATGTAACCCTCTCTGATTTCAAAAATGTGCTCAATCGGCCGAGCTACAAGTTCTTCTTCAAGAGTATGGACGATGATTTCGGGTGAGTTTGTATGTACTCAGTCAGAGCTTTTATGTAGATTCATTTCTTAGCCAGTGTTTACGTTGTTTTTCTCGCTCTACAGTTATTTCTCAAGCGCAACACGTTTGATTCTGTAAAGGGCTTATATTTGTATAACAGATGGTGAAATACGTTTGTTTTGAAAAACACAGGGAAACCGTTCCTACGGTTCGACCTTCAAAATACACTCTCAAATATGAAGTGTCTTGTCATACTCATAGAACGACCAGGGTGCACATTGCAACACGACCGTATGATTGGAGACTCCCCGTGCCTACCAACTGTACATACCTTTTGCTTGTTTTATCAATTTTCCCTAATTTCCAGCGACCTAGGGCGAACAGTATCTGTCGCTTCTTCGTGCAGATTTCATGCATTCCAGCCAAACTTCTGATAGCGTTTTACCTGTAACTGATATCTCTGGTTGATAATTTACGATTTGTATTGCAGTGTGGTCAAAGAGGAGATAAGCGATGAGGAGATGAATCTACCTTGTTTTAATGGAAGGGTCGTTGCCTGGGTAAGCCAGTTGTCATCGAATTATAAGCTACCGTAACCCGCAAATAATTTACCGAACCAAGCCAACTAAAAGATCGGCTTTGTTGATATATTTTCGTAGCAGGGAACACAGTTTATCTAAGGTTGTAACTCAATCGCGATCGACCATTGCAAGCGATTGCCTGTTTTAGTCCAAATCTTACATAAGAACTGATTTCTGTGGTATTCTAGTGCGATTTCCTTCCTTTGTAATTCCTATGAGGACATATATCCTTATGGCGCCCAAACGCTATGTTTACTTCTCTTAGGGATGATCTTGTTTTACGGCCATTATTTGAAACGCTGCAGTAGAAGAAAGAATTAGTATAAACACATTTTAGCTTGAATTTGTTTCGCTGTTTTAAAGTTTAGTTAAAATCACCGACACTACACGACCTAAACCTCAAATATGAGTAGTTGTGTTTTATCTCGAGAAATATATTGGCTTCTCGATTGTCCTTCATTAATCAGGTTTCCTTGAATGTACAAAACCTCATCTTTTATTTATACCACCACACCGAGTTCCTACTGAGTCAATTGTTTAGAACTAAGATTTAATCTAGATTATACGGAAAAAACCAGTAACTGTTTCGTATATGTAAACACTGTGCTCTTTTGCCGTCTCGCGAGTCGAACGATTCTTTGTTCGAAATCGCGTTACGGCCTTAGTCCCAAGCGAATAAAACAACCGGTGATTTGCATTCCCTGTTTGTCACAAGAGTAATGTAATTTACTCAAGGTAAGTTCTAAACCAATGCCGAAAGCGCTGTCTAACATTAAAAGCACAGTGCTGTTACGAGATTTGCAATTAGAAGGCTATTGATTAAATTGCTGTCGGTCGTACGGCTGATGATTTTGAGAGGTCAGGCGAGATTTTTGATTGTCAATGAAAAGTTGGTTGTTCTCTTGAATTTTCTGTAGTTCTTTACCCTCGCGTGCTATTTGTATACTTGAGTGAAATCTGTTGAAAAAGTAACCTTCTAAAGTTCGTTTAGTCGATGTCACGTTCTCAAATTTGCTACATTCATGTCAGGTGAAATGAACAAGAAACCGGCATGTAAAGGGTTTTGCGCTCTTTGATGGTTTCTTTATAATAATCTAAAATTTCTTTTGTACTCGTCCGGATCCGTGCCTGACTGGCCACACACCAATTAACTGATAACTACGTGAGTGATATGATGGCCAGAAAAATGCATTGAAGACAGATGTTCTGGCAAAAACACTCATTACTCAATACTGAAATCTTTACAATTCATGCTCACATCACATGGAAGGCGAGGATTAAGAGGGGATTAGTTAATTCATACCACTGATAGGTATTTTACACACCTATTAAATACTCAAGGTTTGGTTATTTTTGGTAGACTTTGATGACAGTGTTTTGTGTAGCATCTTGGAGAGATTTTTTCCAGCTGTTTGGTGGTGTTTTAGGGTTTGTTCTACATTGTCGTTAAGGCCAGGTATTCCATTCTTGGATTCATCTGCTAATGACTCTGTTGGCATCCTTCATTAGCATCCTTTTGATAGATTAGAACAATTAAGTTTATTCTTGGACAAATGATCGAGGGCTGCAAAAAATAAAAGGTCTTTGTCCTTCCACTGGTGAAGTGTAGTGTGAAGATTTATAATTTTAGCAAGGCTGTGATCCTAGATTTATAATGGAAAAAGACTTTCCACTATAATTTCTTCTCTAAGTTTGTTTAAAGTTTTTGCTAAGTGAGCTCTGTGGATCTAAGGTCATCCCACTGAAAATGACAACTTTAAGATTTTTTTTTTATTTTTTACAAAAGAAAAACAAACTTTTTGAACTTCAATTTCAGGAAACATGAAATTGTTAGTCATTGATTTAGAGGCTTTACCCTTTGTAGTAAGTTAATAAATCCAATTTATCTGGTGGTTTTGAATAGGCCAAGCAAAACCACTGAATGATTAATAAAAGAACTTGCATAAGCATAAAATATGTTGATGTCATTGTATTGTTCTCAAAGTGATTTAAGTACTTTCTTGTGATAATAAAAAAGCTCTTAAACTGACAAGACCCGCCTTTAATGGTGGTATTAATTGCAGAACTCTGTCTAAAAGGAATTGTTTGTGGTATTTAGCTTAGGTGACTTGTTGTTTGGAGAAGTTGAAATCATAACTACAGAGATAACAGATATATGGCTAATTAAGATTTTAAAGAAAACAACTAGTACTTTTAGGAATTTAGACCTGGTTTGCATGATGTAGGTCCATCTTGCTTCAATTGTCATGCATCTGAAGTGTAAAATTACCATAGAATGTATGTTATACCTACATGTGCACCATGTCTTGAGTTTCAGTTTCTCCTAACTTTGGCAATAATCATTCATTCTTGTTACTTGGTTGCTTTACGTTTTCCTAAAGTACTGTTGGTAAATAAATTTGTAGAAACCAAAATTGATCACTGCTGGAATTAAACAGTTAATTACAAATAGTTATGAAGACTCAAATATTTAAATCAGTCAGCAAATTACAGTTCTATCAAATGGTTCATGTTTTTTACACTCTTTACCCAAATCATGAAATAGAGTAACTAAAATTGGTAATCTTCAAGATAAATTGAAGATTATAATTTGTTGATGTAGTAGAGATGACCAGATACATTTTCTACTTTTTTCTATATTTAGATAAGTATTTAAGTCTTTCTTCCCCAGCAACAGCGCTTTGGAATATTCACTTGAATAACAAAGCATGATTTGGTTGAGAGATTGATTGTGTCTGGGATGTTTAGCGAAGCCAAATTCAATAGATATTCACCACATGTACATCAGTACACAAGTGTTTGCGTCAGACAGAAAACACGGAGGGACTATTCTTTTATCTTTGCAACAATATTTTAACCAAGAAGTTAATATCATATTACTGCTTTTGCATATTCTTGTACATTAATTACCATGTACGTTGTAGCAATTCACCCAATCAAAGTGTTAAGTTTTCAAACTTTTAATACGTGCCTGTATAGTCAATATCATTTTAATGCTTATAGCTTGTTTTCTTGTTACAGCTTGTCACCTCAGACACAAGTAGTGTTTCAGACACTGGCAGAGATGATCAACAATCTGTTATATCTGCTGCGTCTGACCTGCATCCTCCCATGCCAAGAACAGTTGGTATTGGGGATTCAAGGCCACCTTCCTTCCAGTGAGTACAATGGACCAAATTCTACATCTTTCAGCCTTGTCTGCATATTGCTACGATCCCTGGGATTGCTAGTCCATTGCCGGTTAACCCTCAGTATTTTGTTAGATTGTCCCTGCTACTTGCCAGCTTCTGGTGATTCTCTGGCCTTGCAGGTGTTGGAATATAGTGTTTATTGAAGTGGAGATCAATATTGCTTCAAAATAAAATCTAGATTGAAGGTGTAAAAAGTTTGGATAAAGTTGTACATGTATGTACATTGGAGCTCTGTTAATCCAGTCTCCAACGGGCTACAAAAATTTGGCCGTATTAACTGGGTGGCTGTCTTAAAGGGGTTCCTTAAATAAGAAAATGACTGAGCTTTTGTCTTGGCCAGTATAAAGTGGTTGTAATAATGAGGTGGCCATATTAACAGGGTAGTTGTAAGTCACGATTGTACTGTATATCAGTTATTTATTTCCCAGTATGACAAAAACAAATTATTTGTAAACACATGGATATTACAGGACATCATCAGTTTAGGAAGCAGGGATAAATGAGCTCAATAATAAGAATTATTACTATCTGATGTTTCAAAAACAGTAAAACCTACTGATTTGTGTTGGACAACTACCTTTCCTTGTTACAAACAGCAATTGACTACTGCTATTAGGAACATCTAGAATTAATAAGACGATATTTCTATGTTTATGTTTAGCCCCCATGGAGGACACTCGACAGCTGGCGATTTTGACTCTGAAGTGGATTCCACAGTTAGTTCTAGAAGAGGGTCAAGACGTAGAGAAAAACACATAAACAGAAATGAAGGTATTTCAACATTCTAAATAAAATATGGTTAGCTGTTTCCTTTTTACAACTTTATCAGCATTCTTTTTTTTATGCGCATTATAACTTTTATTTTTAGTAATTCCTTTGAAAGACGTAAGCATGCAAAAACTAATAATATAATGTCCAAACATTTTGGTGACCTCATGACACCATTATCAAGGAATGAATAGATGAGAGTGAGTTAAAAAGAGGTAAGACCTGGAGATTTACATAAATGAAGTTAAGTTAGACAAAGACTTAAGACTTCACTTAATATGTAAATCTTCAGGTCTTACCTCTTTTGAACTCACTCTCATCTATTCATTCCTTGATAATGGTGTCTCAAGGTTGCTGAAACATTATGTAATAACATTTGTATATATTTATTTGTAAAGTTGTTACGCAATTGTGTTATAGTGATCCATGGACGGCATCGTCAAGGAGGAAGACATGAAGGTGACAGATATGAGAGTGCATCCATGATGAGTAGCGATATTGAAACAACAAGCTATCAGGACTCTTCGGATGATCAAAGCAGGTAAAATCTTATCAACATTGCTACTTAGGTTAGAAATAACTCTTACTAGTAAGGTTTGGTTAGGTGATCAACAGCAGTGGCAGGGATAAAATTTGTGTACTTGTGTTGCAGTGTTTCAAGATTTTCCAGCACAACAGAAGGATCTCAGCTTCTTAGAGGAAGACATAGGAGAAGGAGAAGGCGACCTAGGATGCCTAGAGTTCAACGAGTAAGAATGGTTACCTCTCTTGTCTTTGTAATTTCAATGTACATGCATTATCTAGAAGATGATAACTGTGAGGAAAGAAAACATGCCTAGGGGATATGACTGTGATGTGTGGGATATGACTGTGATGTGCGGGATGCAAGAACTCAGAACAATTAGTAGAAAATTTGTGTAATTGTATTTGAGCCTGGTGCAGACAGGAACTACCAAAGTGTAGTAATTGTTTTGTTGGATACCTAGGATGTCTGATGTTAAGCTCTCTATCGAGTTACATAGGAGTTAACCAAGACTTGATATCCACTCTGGATGGATTTCCTGTTTGGCTTACATGTGAAACTAGTTTTGGAATGCTTATACTGTAGTCAATTTGTTTACCATTGCTGTTTTGTTCAATAGCAGATTTTATAAAGTTTGCACCAACTAAGCTACACAATTGGCTTAAAAACTTCTGCTACTTTTTTTTATCCAATCAGAGGTAAAACCAAAACCAATTCACTCGCACTTTATTTCCCACCCTTCGCACCAGCTACATGTACTTACTTCGAGTTTTCATTGGTTCATTTTACTGGCTGTGGCCTTTGCGATTGGCTAAGACAATTAGTTTGGGTTTGGTTTTACGACACTCAATTCATTTAAAAACCGCTCTATCATTGAAATACCAATTGAAAGTAGAAAGGTCTAAGAGAGATAAGGACTTATTATAAGCTCCTTGTTAGTTAATGTGGTTTTAACTTTAAGCCCATACTCTGTGAGCATTGAAATGATAGCCACCATGCAGCACTCATGTTTTAATATTTTGCAAATTAAAATGGTAGCAATTTTATTAAAACAAAAGCCTTTTTCAACATGCTGCTCTTGCTCTTGCTTGCACACTTAAACTTTTAATGTGTTTTAATTTTCCAATAATTATAATGTCTGATGGAATTAATTTCCTTTACAGTGTTCATCGTTCAGTACAATTACAGAATCAACTATGTCGCTCAACATCATAACAGTCACGCTAAATATGGGTAAGACTTAAAACCAAAAATATGTTCACTTTTTGTTACCATTGGTATCATTCTCTTGGGCATGCTTTTAATGGTTTATTTCCTTTTGTTTCCAGAAAAAGTTAATTTTCTAGGAATAAGTATTGTTGGGCAAAGCAACAAGAGAGGAGATGGTGGAATTTACGTTGGTTCCATCATGAAGGGGTGAGTTTAAAAATTGTTGCTTTTTGGTTATATGCAATGCGGAAAGAGAATTGAGTCATTTGTGATAGTTTGAAAGTTTGTCTTGTTAATGAACTCTTTTGTGCTTTTGCCAAACTGAATTCTACTTAAGGAATAGAAAACATGTACTGTGTTTCTATCAAGATATAAAAACACGAGTGGCAGTGTGAGAGAATGAGAAATGCTGTGGGAACACTAGCCAAAAGGTGAGTGGTTCCACAGCTTTTTTTGAGTTCTCCCAAACTTCCACAACTGTTTCTGTAACTCAATAGAAATACTGAGAACATGTTTTCTAGTTCTCTTAGAAAATTCTGTGTCGAGAAAAAGAAAACAACTTGTTCACTTTGATCATCAAAATGTAAATTCTCTTTTTCATTATGCCAACGGCTTGTGCTATTTCTGTGTTTCTATTAAGTTATAGACACACAATTTTTAAGCAGTTAGTGTGTGTATTTTCTTTGGGCTATTTTCTAAATGTATATAACTCAGTGTTATAGCATGTTCTGTAAGAGCATGATGCATAGTTCTGTACCTTCTTTTCATGTGTTTCTCTGTCTACTCAGGGGTGCAGTGGATTTAGATGGTAGAATAGAACCTGGAGATATGCTTCTACAGGTATGTGAACCATTTCCACCACTTTTGATTTAAATGGAGATCATTCCTTCTAGAACACTTCTGAGGCATGGCATGGCATGTTGAATGCTATGAGGCATGTACTCTTCTGATCTCTTGTCTTCCTCCTTCACAGGTCAATGATGTAAATTTTGAGAATATGAGTAATGATGATGCTGTACGAGTGTTGAGAGAAATGGTTCATAAGCCAGGGTAAGGAATAAGATTTTAATTTACTTCTCTGTAACAGCTGAAAGCCTTTTCCTAATGGTTATGTTTATAATTAATTTACTACTTGGAGTACCTTCCAATTTAATTTTGTCACATGGTTGTGTCAGATGGAATTAATGTCAAGTTCAAATTTTGTGATGATTATACATCTGTTCCATATGCCCTTACCTGTACTCAATGGAACCTGTTTTTATTGACAAAGAAATTGTGGGGGTTATTCTGTTTAGAATTGCCCTTTTCCTTAAATACTCAATGCACTAAGTGAATGACATTTAATTTAGCACAATTTAGTAACAGTACATAGCTGTTATGTAGTCAGATACATGTAGAGATTACCTGGAACACAAATGTTTACTACACAATGCTGCATTTAAAATGTTGATTACAGGTCTTCCAGTGAGGGATGTTTCCAATTTATTGCATAATTATTGTTTTCAGACCTATAACACTGACAGTGGCCAAGTGCTGGGATCCAACACCAAAAGGATATTTCACATTACCACCTAGTAAGTTAAAACCTTTGTTTAATAATACAATTATCTTCAGTCCTTTGATTTTGTTAAAGGTATGATTGAAGACTCTGTAATGCTTTATGTGTGTCCACACCTTTGGTTATAATGAAGAAATACCAGTGTTTCCTGTCTTTTGCTGGTTTACAACACATGTAACTTCATCCATGATCCTGTGTCTCCCATTTAACTATTCATCTCCATATGAAAGAAGAGTAGTGCGCCATGACCAATTCATTTACCCAATAAACCCAAAACGCAAGGGAAATCTTTCCAGCCTCCATAAACTTTGTTTATTGATGTTTGAGAGATTTTATATCATTGTTTCTTCTTGAAGTCCACAAGATTGTCCTTGTATTTGTAGTTGTGGTCTACAGTGTATAAAGGCTAAATATTATTATTTTGGGGTTGAGAGGATTGTGTTCAGTGAGTGACAAGGCACGTCTTTTTTATGAAGTAAGAGAGTAAACATTGTTTCCTTGGTAGTGATATAAATTAAAATGTTTCCCTTTAGGTGAACCAGTTCGTCCAATTGATACCTCAGCATGGGTTCAACATACCACACAAATGACTCGTAAGTACGAATTCAGTAGCTTTTTGCTGCTGTACAAGATTAGTCTGCATTTCATATTTTTAATCTGTTCATGACATTGGTTTTAACTGAAGAATCTCTTTAATAACTAATCCTAGAGTTTGGACCAACAGCTCAATATGGAAAACAGCCAAACAGCCAGTCACTTAGCACAGTGACATCTACAAGTTCATCAATGACGAGTTCTTTACCAGAATCAGACAGTGAGTTGCTATGTGGTTCTTTATTGTGTTTTTATGGTGACTGGTTTTTTTGTGTGTGAATCAACAGGCAGACCTGCCAACTCTCCTGGTTTTCCCGGGAGTCTCCAAGTTTTTCATCAAACCTCCCGGTCTCCCGGTTAGAGTACCAAATCTCCTGGGAACTACCTACTGTGGCTCTTTTTAATTTTTTTTCATTAATGTCATTATTTTTGAGATGTCGGGAATGTTCGGAAGGCCTTCGGGTGATTTTTGTAGAGTATTCAGACATTGTTGAAAATTATATTTTTACAATGCAAAGATTTCTAGCCGTCTCCAGGTTTTTGTACTCTGGGGTTTGGCAGGTATGAACAGGGTTGCAAGTTTCGAAGACTAGCAAAGCCCATAATACACTCACTCCATTCTCTAACAAAATTTCCATTTTACTGGCTGGTGTGACTTGAATTTAGACAAGTCTACGATAGTATTGTACATCGTCAGCTGTAGATCTGTTCATTAAAACCTATAAAGTATACTGGTAGTCACATCTACCAACATTACTTCAAACATAGCAGGTCCCATTTTTGTTATTGTTCACTTCAGAAATACTTTCTTTTCATAATTCAAAATTTTTGATAGCATATGATTCCATTCCAGTTGGCTTTATTTAGTTGTGTTTTCTACCTTCTGTTATAGGATATACGGAACTTCATGAAGGCGAAGGACTCTCAGTAACCACAGACATGAGCACAATAGTTAAAACAATGGCTGCACCAGACTCCGGGCTTGACATTAGAGACAGGATGTGGCTCAAAATCACAATTCCTAATGCATTTATAGGTAAGGTAACAACTGCTCCTAACAACTGTTCCAGTAGTTTCACTTGTGTATTTTGAAATGCACTTTGTAGTTTTATAGACATGGGCTTTAGTCTCACTCTGTTGTCTCACACAACTTTGCAGATTGCTATGCTTTGTCTTTTTCAGGATCTGATGTAGTAGACTGGCTTTATTCACATGTAGAAGGTTTTCAAGACAGACGAGAAGCAAGAAAATATGCCTGCAATCTTTTAAAGGTAATGTTAAATCTCTGTTATAACACAGTTCTTTCGTCACAGAATTTCAAGACATGTTTCTTTAAATTCAAGGAAAATCATGAGTTGTGGAATATCTGCACATTTAGACCTGCCCTAGAGAGTGCAGATGTCATCTATTTTCTTTAACATGGCGATATAAGAAATTAAATTAAATAACACTGAGGATGTATAAAAGCTCGGCGTTCAGTAGTTGTTTGTTATTGCTGTAATAATTGTCGTTTGCTTTGTTCTTCTTCAGGCTGGCTTCATTCGTCACACAGTGAACAAGATTACATTCTCAGAACAGTGCTATTATGTATTTGGAGATCTTTGTGGAAGTAAGTCTGTAGTTGTATCGTAGTTAGCCAACAGGACTGATAGGGGTTCAACCCACCCACAACATTTTTACAATGTAAACATGTGAAGGAGGCATGGAAATTCTGAGGTGTAGGGCCTGTCAGGGTGTGAACTGTTATTGAGTTTGGAGGTGGGGCTGCCACACGTTCTTCAGAAACAAAGATAAGCTTTGCTACGAAATTTTGTAAGATCGAAAGAACAAAGTAATCCTCTCAGAGGGAAGAGAGCACCTGGTGCCCCTTTTTGAATCGTATTGCTTAATTTTCCTTCAAATGTTTAATGAGAGAGCAAATGTCTTGCATGGTTCCAATGCTCTTGCGGTATATCTTCTTTAATATATCCTCTATGTTTGTGTTGTAGATATGGCTGCCCTTTCAATTAACGAACATGAAGGTGATGGTGACCAAGATACTCTGGGACCCCTCCCTACTCATCAACAGGGTATCTCATGGATGTCAGGACCACCAAGTTACGGATATCATCAAATGCCGTCGTACCCACCTCCTCAACCCATTGTTGACGCACAAACACCAGGATACGCCCAGTCATTTTACAGTGCACACAGTGGCAGTCAAAGCCCTCACAGTGCCAGTGGCAGTTCTAAAAGGAGCGGTGGAGGAGGCGGTGACCGCGGAGACGGTGATCACAGAAGCAGTGGTGGAAGCAGTAGTGAGAAGAGTGGTAGTAGTAAAGGCAAAAGCAAAAGCAAAGAACGCGAGGCTCGCAGCGTAGAAGGATCAGTTCAACTACCGCCCATGCCAGGAGCTCCCCCTATAGGAGTTCCCATAGGAGTTCCCATAGGAGTTCCCATAGGAGTTCCTATAGGAGCTCCGATGCCTGGCGGTCCCCCTATGCCGGGAATTGCTATGATGCCAAGGCCTCTTGATCAAGTACCTGAGAACGTCTCGGCTAGTAGGAACAGTTTTAGAATGGCTATGGGCAATCCTTGTGAGTTCTTTGTAGACGTCATGTAATGAGGCAAAAGATGTCCCACTACCAGCTACCAGACCGGCTAGTGAGCTTCACGAATGACAGGCCAACGGAGGACCCACCCCATCCGTAGGACGGTACTGCCTGAGATGTGGCAGACTCTACACTCTACACACTTGCTTAGTTGTAACACCCACACCGCAAGTTGTATCAAGCTTCAATTTTTCTTTCTCGTGTGTCGGTTGAACACAGTATTATAGGTTATCAAAATTTACGCGTGGCGCCAATTTCGGACAAATTCTCGGAGCCAAGACGTTAATTCTCATTGTTAGTTATTATTTCTATTTGTATATAGTGTGGCAATTGGTGCTTTCGAGAGGTTAGGTTTGTACAGAAATACAGCTTGAGTTATTTTAATGGCAAAGAGAACTTCGTTTTTATGTAGTCTTTACAAAGAAATTTTGACTTGCGAAACTATTTTGGGACCTAGAGAGGTAATAGAAATTCTCAGTCTTCAACACCCCCGAGTAATCGTGGGTCAGTTTTATCTCTCCTGGCATAGCTCACTAGATTTTACTCAAGGCTGTATTAATTGAATTGTCAATATAGTACGGTACATGCATAGCTATATATACAAGGTTTCTCATATTTCTTGCCAAGCGTTAGCGAATTCAAGTCAGAACACTTTCTTGAGGGGTGTCATAACACAAGTTTTTATTTTAGCCAAACCCGTCAACAGAGTGTTCAACAAGTTTCTTGAATGGCCTGTGCGAGACAAATTACTAATGATAGGCAATGTATGGATCAATTACTCTGGAATGAAGCAATTTTAATGAGCGCAGTTTTGCAGTGTAAAGAAAACAGATGGGTGTTAGCCCGTTATTCTCTGGAGGTAAATTTCTTTTGCCACTAAGCAAATAAAATGATACAAACAAAAAGGTTTCTTGGTAGTGGGCATGTGATCAGATGGTGTCTGGTTTTCGCAGTCACTCTTTGGGCTGTTACACAACACTTGACAAAGGAGGAAGCGTGTCGTGACAAGCCAATTGATGGTTGTTAACGTGTACGTTTCTCTCGTTTCTCTCCGTTTTTACCTGCACAGGACCGCATTCAGGGCCTCTTTAAGAGCCTCCCCCGTGAAAGAAGCCCCCTCGCCCCCGACCTTTCAAGTTTGAATTAGGGTTGCACGCATGTACCAGCAGTTGGAAAATTGTCGGTAATTAGAGTTAAATTTCTGCAAATCTTACGTCTATTGTGAGCTGCACCCGTCTTCCACTGTTTCTATTCGTAAGTGCGCTTTATTCGTCCAAGTTATGTGTTCCCTAAGCTTTACCATTAATACTTTGTTTCGAAGCTTCGTGCAATTAACAAATGTATTGTGGCTTTGTATTGGCAAGCAGTGTAAACTTTTTAAGGACATGTTCTTGTTTATGAAGCCAGAAGGTATCGATCGGATATGAATGAAGTTGAAAACTGCAGATTTGATGGGAAATTTCAAGGAAGTATTAGTCTGTCAAGGAGCATCAAAATGGACCAGAGTTTAGGCAGGCAATGTTCGTATATTATACCTCAATCTGCGATCAGGCATTCTTTTTTAATGGATTATTTTTTTTGCTGTTGAAAAAGAACGCCAGATCGCAGGTTAATTATACCCGAGTCGTTAATAAATTTGGAGTTAAATTAATTTCTCCCTGATTCCAAGGGCTGGAATTAAAATTTTTATAATTTATAGGTTTCACACAGTCACGGAAAGATGTAGCTGGAATTAAAATTTTTATAATTTATAGTTTCACGCAGTCACGGAAAGATGTAGCCCCTCTCTAAACTTAAGGTATTCTGCGCGATGTCCGTTCGCCGACTTGGAGAGGTTATAGAAAGGCAAGAAATTTGAGTTAAGCACTCCAGCAGGCCTACAAATGAAAAGTTGAGAATTGACGAAACTTTGTTCAGGGCATGAAAATTTGCTCAAACAAGAAGGGATGATCGACATTATCCTCTGTTGGCGCCAAAAGGCCTCGTTCAATATCTCAATATTCTCACATGGCTCCAAGGCTTTCAGAACAAACTTCTATATTTGGTGTTTTCATTGTGTCCAAGTCTCCTTGGGAGTTGAGAGACAAAAGAAACTTAACAAATTTGTAATTTTGTCCTGAAAGCCTCGGAGCCATGTGAGAATTTTGATAAAATAAATATATTTGGTCCCGTCCACGTTACGCTGGAGGAATTTGAAAACGGAAGGTTTAACTCTGAAAGCGCATCAAATGTTTTCCGTCCACGCTACGCCGTAGGAATTAAAAACTCGGCAATAACCAGTCAGTTTGGAGTGCAGTTGCGAATTTTGTATTTTTATTTTCCTTTTCTTTTTTCTTCTGGCAAAAACTGAGATTCAATCATAAAATTCCGGTTTTCAAAGCTTACTTTGAACAAATCATTTGCTTTCCTTCCCATCTGTAAATTGTGGTAAATCTCTTTAAGAGAATGGTAATCTTATCTAATGTTGCTTTTTGCTAGGAAACCTCCAAACAGCTCCTTCACTTACATAATTTAAGTTGGAGAATAACAAATTAAAATATAATTACTTTGGTTCCACAAAAATACTTTGAAGACAGTGGCATTGAGCTAATTAGCTTCCATCAATTTTTTGTCACTATCGTTCCTTTTTAGGGAAATTAAAACCTTTTTGCTGTCAATGACTCGGCTAACACAAATTTAGCAAAACATAGACATCAACGGCATCCTGCGCAACTTTTTCGTGGCTTTATTTTCAGGGCTAAATTGGGCGGGGCGGGGGGNGGTGGGGAAGGGAGAGAGAGAGCTAACTATCATAGGGAAGCCTTGACCTGGGTTGGGTCTCTATACAGATATCGCCACCGGAGTTTGTGTCTAGAAATCTCTGAAAGAAGAGAAATCAAGCACAATTCAACCGGGAGCTCGAATTTCAATAAATTATAATGAAGACCAAAAAATATAACCCACTTGTAGGTCGAAGGGGAGTTATGAGATTGAATTTTATCTCCAACATGTGGGTCAATTAAGATACTTTTCTCAAGATACTTTTCTTAAAAAATAAACATCTGACTATTGTCATGTGAGTGAACTGAGCAACGTGTTAACTCCGAGCATTTTTCTATTTGCCCACGAATTTTGTCAACACTAACAGTTTAAATAAGACCTATTTCCAGATTGAACTTTGAACGCATATTAAATTTACACCTTCAATTTGCAGCATTCTTGATAAATTTACAATTACTACGCGTTGCAGTTTTGTTCTAGATATCCTCTCGTTTAAATTATGTAGGTTCGATTTTAATGAGTAAAGCTGTCAGCACGACTAAACCTTGGTTCGCCAGATACCATTCCAGATTTTCCGTACCAATATTTTGATCAAGCAACTCGTTCGCGTCCACTTCGCGGTGACTGCGACCCGCTCTGTAGAACCCAGGCTTCACGCGCAACTGTAGAGCGACTTGAGCTTGATAGAGTTTTCCCGTTGTACCATCCCTATACCTAAAACACGAGATAAACAAAAAACCCAGTGAGTGAATCCTACGTCATCACCTAAGGCCCTGTTTACAAGGAGCTAAGGTAACCCTAGTGCTAGGGTTACCTAGCACTCCCACATTTCTTCCATTGTTTTTTTCATTGATGTGTTTACAAGGCAGCTAGGGTTACCCTGGCACTACCTGCATGTAAACAGGGCCTAAGGGTGTTTTCAGTGACACAAGCGATGTGATGAATTCTTAAAAGCACAGGAAAACATTACTGAGAGCGTATGATGCACAACTTAGTAAAATTTGGCAGCCTTTGGATTGGAGCGCTTTTGACGACTAAAGTATCGCGGAAAGAACCTTACGAAAACGAGTCCAACATACTGGCTAACATTTCAAAGTGTCAAGAAAGCTTTTTAGAGTAGAAGGGTCACATTTTCAAATTTTGAGGACTTCAGATACTTACTCTTGTCTTTTGGTCTGTGTTTCACACGCGCACAGGATTGTAGGTGACACACAAAGCTGAGGGACTTCATTTTCTTTGTTGGATGCACCACTCCTCTGCTGACCGCTACAGACTGAGCAATAAAACAGAAACACACTAGTCTAGACGACGAAAAACAAAAATTTCGGTAAAACTGAGATAAAGATTTAACTTAGCAAGCAAGGCGCGGTGGTCTAATGGTAATAGCGCGCTTGACTTCGGAATGAGTGGTCTGGGTTCGAGCTTAGACTGCGAGCAGTCTATCTTTTGCTCGAAAATCCGTGGGGAGGAACGCAAAGAACAACGCAACACAAGTCGTGAGCGGTGCGAGCTTGATATACTAAGCCGAGAGTCGCAAGTAGCGCGGGCGACGCTCGTCTTCTGACGTCCGCGTTACTCGCATGGCTCGCATGTCACGCTCGCAGTCACACTCTTAGGTACTGTCACTTGTTTTGCGTTCTTCCCCACGGATTTTCCAGAAAACGAGACTGCTCGCAGTCTAGTTCGAGCTCTGAGTTAGGCATACTTACCTTGCAGTGGTATATCACCTAGATCAAGTATTCTTCTCAACCGTCCAATCAGAGTGCCGTAAAATGCCACGTGCCATTTGTCGAACACATGATAGCTTTCAACCCTCGGGGGAATTCTAAACGAGATAAATAACACAATTGAATTTCAAGTTTGAATTTTCTATGGTCTTGTTCTGACACCTTTGGGCAGCCATTATTTGACAGTAACAGGAGCCCATGACAGTAAAGGAGACTAGTAATAACTCTTTCTAAAGCTAACAGTTAACTGCGTCTCACGAGCTCACCTTAGCGCAAACTGACACCATCCTAATGGCAGCGCATACCGACATGGTGGATCACCGCTGACAGCATACCTTTTTTCACCGCGGGCTTCGTGGCAGGCTTGACAGTAACATACATTGAACTTGCAGTCCGTATTGAAATATTCATCTGTGAATTATGATTACGACAGTACGTTAAAGAGACGCTGTCGTTTAGATTTAGCAGCATTACAAGAACCGAGAAGAAAGATACCAATTCATATTCATCAAGTATCAATGACGCCTGCATATTATGCTTTCTGTAGGACAGCGCGAACCTGCAAAGTCTGGCGGCGCGAAAATTAGGGCGAGCCCGCTAAGTTGATTTTTTTGCTCTAGTCCAAATTTTTACGCGGCCAGAATGTGGAAGAAGCTTTTCGTTTGCACAGGAACGCTTGCTACGCAGGGTAATATTGTTGCTGTCTTTACTGACCTGGAATGGCGAGACTGGCACGGAATCTGTCACAGAGCTGTCTGTAATCACAAGGTCCTTTACTATGCTCCCCTAGTACACAAATATCACACGAAAAGTCATTAAAATTTCAAGATACTCGCCAAGAGAAGCAGAGCCAAAAAAAAATCATAACAGTTTCTTTAATTTCCAAGCGAAATCGTCATCTTTGAAGAGCTCCCTCACCCGAGCTTCTCTCTGCCTTTGTTTCTTCCATGCATACGCGCCCTCGTTCACTATGATCAGCAGTCACAATAGACACTTCCTCACAGCATCCGTATAAGTCAAGCACTGCAAACCGTCTGGCTGGGATGGCCTGGGCAATAGGTCCCAGGTCTTCTCCGTTAATAAGCAGGTGTAACCGGCTTTTCTTGTCAATCAAGACTCCTAGCGTGTCTCCTTCTTGAAGACTGTCAAGACTTCGCCGCAAATTATCGTTTACCTGTAATTCGAATCATTTATAGAGAAAGATCAATTGATTATGTAATGCTCTTTCTCAAATTCATTAATAATTCGTCAAGTTTAAATAAAGGAAATCAAGACCGTGATGATGTTTGGATATCTGATCTTAACTAGCATTTTACGATTTTGCGTCTCCGTTTTCTCCTTTGTTTTCGTTTCGATTGAGAAAATTTATCAACCGCTCAAGACAGTGTTTGACCGCATTTCCAAACACCTCAAAGTTCGTCAAAAATATTCCGCTGTGCGTCACATTTTGAACTCTCTTCTCGGTTTTTAGGAAATATGGTCAAACACGGTCTTTCGTGTTTGATATATAACTAGAAAAAAAAAGTTATTTTGCACATTTGGTTTTACAGCTGCAAAACGGTTGCTACTAGACAGATAATCGGAACAATTTCTCACATTTGAACAGAAACAGATAAAGTTTTAAACTCCTCATCAGTTACTTAGCAGACATTTCTTGTTACCTTGTTTCCATTCACATAAACCGCGTTATTGACAACAATCCAAGGACATATCTTGATGCTGTTGGCCGTGCTGGGAAGGCTAGTCAAGGAGTCTGGGTCCTGGGCTGTGACGCCGATCATAACAGACCCCGTCCAGCGGCTGTTCAACTTTCTGATACATACCTATTGTTTGGAGGAAGGTACAATTAGTGTTCGAGAAGGAAACTAGCGTCCGTGCAATTAGCGAAAACCCTGGCCGGAGAATCTGACCAATCAATTCAAGTACAGTGAAAACCCGCCTTACGGTCACTTCGCTATTACGGTCCCATTAACACGGTCACTTCGTTATTAAGGCCACATTTTTTGTCCCGGCGAAACGCCCATAACTTTTCTTATAAGAAAACCCCGTTAATATGGCCACCCCGTTAACAGGCCAACGGCCACATTCTGAAATTCCAACCTGTATAATCCTTTATAATTTTACCCCGTTTATACGGCCACTCAAACCAGTTATGTTCATCTTTCCATTGTTAATATTTCTTACACTAATTCAAGTTTCAATTTTTTTTAAAATTATCTCTGCATTCCGGATGCTTGTTAAAGAGCAGTTGTTTAGAAGTGCAGCAATTGTGATATAACTGTTTAGACATTTCGACTAGTCGTGAGGTTTCACCCAACCCCGTTAATACGGCCACCTCGTAAACACGGCCAAATTCTCATGACCCGTTGGTGACCGGATTAACGGAGTTCCACTGTATCTACAGAGCCACCTTGTTCTCGTGCCAATGCCCCACCGACTAAGAGGAACAGGCGGCTCTGGGGACAACAAATTGACGTCAGTTTTTCATGCGTCTGTCCTGTTATCGATGATGAATTTCGTCATAACATTGTCAAAGTAGCTGTGGATCCACGAGGCGATAGCCGAGTGGATCAGCAGACTACTTTGACAATGTTATGACGAAATTCATTGTCAATAATAGGACAGACGTATGAAAAACTGACGTCAATTTGTTTTTTACGATAACATGTTATCAAATTGTCCGCTCTCGCTCGCTGACGCATCGCATAAGTTATAAATTAATGTGTCTGTCCGCATATTGACGATGAAAATTAGCCAATGAGCGCGCGAGAATTTCTGCAGTTATCGTAAAATTAACAACTAACCTGAAACAAGTGGTTATCCGGAAGAGGCGTCTCACTCAACACCACTCCATGATTGTAACTATCCACTCTTCTTGCGGTTGTACGGTTACTATCCAGTGAAATAAACTGACCACAGTTTTTATGGAAAATAAATCTGCCAAACATGGAAAACAAGATAAAAACAAAGGAACGGGACACCTTCCACCCTGGTGGCACCAACACGACAGGAAAACGACTCCACAAGAAACTCATACTAGGAAAGCCCCACCCTAGAATCTTACTTTTGTAAATTAGCGATGGATTCCCTTGCATCTTCTTCATCCTGATCTTGTATCTGGAAAATAAATTATTTGGGATCAATGAACACCGTTGTTAAGGCAAACGTAATGCTCCAAGTTTGCCCCAAAACTGACCGAGTTACAGTAGGTTCTTTAAGCAAAGAACACAAAATGGATAGTGCTAACTAAGGCAACTCATTATTGTCAAGTGAATGCGGGCAACAGACGGCCACGGTTTGTATTTTCCCTTACCTCAATGACTGGGGAAACTGACGACTGTGATTCTCCATTCATCAATACTCCGGCAGAAGAACAAGCATCTGTTCAGAAAAAAAATTAAATGGATTTGTTTGATACCAAGGACTGGTGAACACAAAAAAGGAATATATGAAAACAAAACAGGAATTTAGGACCATACGAATAGTCAATCTCGTTTTGTTCTTGAGTAAAAATCACTTAAAATTTTAAACTTGTGTAACAAGAAAGGAAGATTTGAGGGACACTGACGCCAAAGTAATGCATACCAGCTGAAGGGCTTGATATGGAGATGACATTTGCCATGCCATATACATCCACAACTGCATGAACAATCTGAAATAGAAAACAAAATCATTCATTGTGTTACTACAACGATAAACAATTTACTAAATGTTCAGACCCCATACACGTGCTGTTTAGTTTTTGTATTTTCGTGTGGGTTTACCCAACACTCCGCCAATTCGACGCCAACAGTCCTTAATTTCTAGCGTTCTTATTAGCCGAGAAGTATCAAAAAAAAAAAAAACGAGAAAGGCGTCAAAAAGTTATAACGGTATGATTCGTTTCACTGCCACATTACAACCTGCTTAGCTCTTCAAAGGTACCACTCGTTAATTGGAGCTATAATATCGAATGGTAACACGAATAACCGGGAGAGGAAGAAGAAACAAAAATGTACTTCAGCGTAAACCTGTTTGTATTTGGTAACATCACAACGTACTTGAGGGATGTCCATAGCTGCGACTCCTTGGTCCTCGCCATTAACAAACACGTGAAAAGTACCATCTCTTTGTCTCTGTACTCCGATTCTCGTCTTGGCCTGTAAAGTCAATTCATATGTTAACTAAGTTACTAAAAGTTTGGCCATTCTTACAAAAGAGATTCTTATGGGGGAAAAAAAAACCATTCTTACAAAAGAGATTCTTATGGAAAAAAAAATACCGCGTGTTCGTCAGTACATAAGCAAAGTTTTGATACATTTTCCTACTCAAAACCTTATGGAATAACCATAGAATTTGCTTAACAAATTAAAGATCATACAGTCTAATGCCGCGTTTATTTTTTCACCTTTTTAAAGCCCTTCTGGCCCGGGTTGCTCAAAAGCCGGTTTACGCTAACCCAGGATTGAATGTTAACTGAAGTATTAAATTTTCTGTATAAAAACGTTTTTCACTGCTTACGTTTTGTGTAGTTTGATAATACTCAAACTCAAAACTGACGGACAAACAATAAAACAGAAAACTTCATCGAAAAGTAACAAAACTGAAATCAAAATTCTCGCTAATCCTGGGTTAGCTTAGTTTTGAAAAACCCAGCCTCTGGTGTGACAACAAGAATCCGAAAACGGCCTTTGCTTTAATGTAAGACAAGAGAAATAAAAAAACTAAACCTGTAATCGATCCAAACTGTGTCCATAGTTTTCTTTAATTATCACAGCGTCTTTCATGACACAGGAGCCAGTCATCAGCCATGTTCCATCTCGCAGCTCCAGTGCAGAGGCAGGTACAGCCAACAGTGGAATGGTTTTAGTTGTGATACCCACCGCAATCGAACCAGACCACTGATTACCATTGACTCTGTCTATAACAATCTGAAATGAAAATGTATGTCGTACAGCTCGCTGTGCCTGGATCTCATACAACAAAGGAGTAATTTTGGGACATACGGTGATTTAAACAATCAAAATCCAGAAAATGAGGAGAGGTGTAGAGTTGGCACAGTAACACTGAACTGATAGAGGAAAATTTAACCACGACTGCACTTTAGCCTAGTTTCTCCCTCTTCCTCTCCTTTGAACGCCTGCCAAACGGGCTAAAGCACTGCTGAGAGTTTGATTTGTAAACATGCCATACCCAATAATTTCTTGCAGAGCCTAAATTTTGGGCATTTCCTTCGAATGACCAATTAAAAACACTCAAGCAGTCACAGTTTTTCTAGTCACAATATTCTTTTCTCACAGGGCAGAAGAAAAAAGGAAAGAATTCTGAGAGAGCTTCCAAGCAACTACTACTGACTCTCTCTCTCTCCCCTTCTCCATTTTAAGAACATTTGTAACTAACATTCTCTTCAGGGTTCTCCCATACCACCTAATCATTTTCCCCAACCATCTGTTAGTCCTGTTTATACCCCTAAATAAGAGAAGTGGGAATAATTTGTTTTGCATTGACTGATAAGAACCCAGGCCAGGATTTAACCCTTGATTTCTGGTTCTTAGCCCTGACTCAAAGCATAAACAGTGGTTCTTCCCACAGTACACAGTAGAAACTATCATAACACTCAATCACTATAATATTATCCATTACCTCAAATATTTCGTCTTCTTCCAATGGTTTTGCACTGAACACAAGACCATGATTGAACCCTGTAGACCTTGAGGCAGTCATTTTGTTGTTCACAAGACGAATGTTTCTTCCACAGCAGGAGTGGAAGCCACATTTAACTTTACCTAGAGGGAAAATCATGATCGTATTTAATGTTCACAAAGGGAAGGTAGGTTAAGTCTTCATATGAGCCAAGTGGTCCATCAGGCCGGAGCTTATCCTGGTTTCTGTAGCATGAAGCAACTAGGAGTATTTCTACTCCCCCCTGGTTGGGATGCTAATCCATCCCAAGGTTACCCCCAACATTAAATTCGCTGGTACCCATTTATACACCTGGGTGGAGAGAGGCACTGGGAGCAGCCAGGGCTTGAACCCGGACTGCTTGATCCGGAGGCGAGTGCACTAACCATGAGACCACTGCACCTCTACAATGTTGACATAGAACCTTTAACTTAAATCTACATAGCATGTCAGAATATGTGTGAACAGCATATTTTTAAGCTTAACAAGGTGAAAAATTCACTAAACCAACATTGAAAGAAACAAATGGTCGTTAATTTGTATTTTGACTTACTAGCTGCTTCTTGCACTGTCACAGGGATAGGCTCAGTTGCCGTCTGTTCACCAGGAACTGGCATGACTTGAGATCCTCTGTAATCATCATCATGAATAGAAATCTGAACACACTGGCCATACAAGTCAATCATGGCATAGATTCCTGTTAGAAATCACAGGAAATTTGAACTGTCTTTCATTTCTTTTGAATGAGATTTGTTTTCTGTGTGCCTATTAGTTAAACTGCAATTGAAACTCAAGCACATAAGTGATCAGTTTAAAGTTTTTCAAAATGGATTGCACAAAGTGGACACCTATGCCCTTTGTGCATCAATTACATGCATTTGCTTCTTGTTGTGTCCCTGCAGTTTGTAAAACTGATGGACTACATGCCACTGACATTTTTCCTAACAAGACGTTCACAAAGATTTCACAACGTTGACACATGCAGACCATTGAGAGTAATATTGAACATTTTTACAACAGTTACACCTAACAAATGAAAGGATAAACAAACCAGTGTTGAAAGGCCAAAACTGTGAAAATCTGGTTATAAGCCATAGGCCACTTGGGAGACTATCATGTTAGTTTTATGGTCCTTAGTCTTGTAACTGGAAAACAGTCTCTTAACATTATGAGAGTCAGTGTAGATACGACTCAGTGGGATGCACGGGCAAGTGTTTAAAAACCCTGGCTCATGAACATAAATACATGTAGGCTGAAGGCTTAAAACCAGGATTCTATAACATGTGTCTGTTAGACAACACAGGTTCAAGTCATAAAATGTTTCCAAGTATCTGATAAAGTTCTGTACCTGATGGCACACTTGTAGCAGCTGCACCACAGTCCTCTCCATTGACAAAGAAATGCAATGATCCTCCTGATTTACGCATTATTCCAAGACGGGATCCTTCCTCTAACTTGTCCAAGTCACAGGCATACCCGTTTTTGGTTGTGGCACCATTCTGCAGCACAGAGGTCCCAGACACCATCCATGCTCCACTTATAAGATCAGTCATGGTGCTCGGGAACTGCAGCTGATCAGGGGGGACTGTTGTTACTCCTATTCATATAAACAATTTACCATAAAATCTTATTTGTATAAAAAATAAAGAACCCTAAACCGCGTATTACACTGTGATAAAACATGACGAGCATTTGAGAACACAAGGGAAATGTAGGCAAGTGTTTTCTACATTTCTCGAGTGTTCTCAAATGTCTGGAGTGTTTTATCGCATCGTAATACATGGCTTAGGCTTCTTCATTTGCTTTATGATATAGAGATGTGGCGAAAAACAATAAAACACGCTTTTTCTAAGTTGTATACTCTGATAAAACATGGGTTGTTGAACAATCAGAGCACCCACAGGGTCCTATCTATATTATAAATATAAATAAAATATCAGTAACAAACAATTCAATTACATTATGTAAGACATGACTGAGCCAAATTGTTCCAAAGCACTGGAGTTTAACCCAAGTTTCAGTAACATTACAGTAAATGACTAGAACTGTTTCCACTCTCTTGATAACCGGTATTTCTATATGCCAGCAATTTATACACCTGGGCAGAGAAGGCACTGTGGGAGTTAATTTGCTTACACAAGAACACAAAACAATGACCCCGGACAGGGATCAAATCCGGAATGCTTGATTTGGCCGTAGTCTAGTGCACATGCTATAAGTTATTAGGCCACCATGACTCCTTTGAAGTTAGTAAAATTTGACAGTTTGAAAGAAACTTCTCTGGTCACCTGGCTGAAGCATGGGCAGCTCCCAAACCTGTTAAGTAGTAGTCCCGTGAGTAAGAACTATTCAGGCACGCCATTCTACTCTTAGTTTGAATAACAGAATAGTGACATTAATAGCATGTCTCAGCCTTAAATGAGAAAGTAACATGTTTGAAGCTGTGTTGTGTAAATGTAATTTTCTTTTATTACAACATTCACAAAGCCAAGAGAACTTCAAGTTTACTCTCCCTCCATGCTTTACACCTGTGCAATCTTGTTACACAGATGCCTAAAGATGGAGGTTACATTGTAAATTGCAAACAATACTTATTACAGTTAAACCTCAAACTAAGGGTGGTGAGTGGTAAATGCAAGACTTTGCGATGAGGTGAGCCCAAGACATTCTGACTTTTTCAATGGCAAGACTGAGACCTCAGAGATGTTCAAGTTCTAAGACATTCAGATGTCATTTATTAAAAAAAAAAAAGCAAAACGGTACTTTGAGACTTTCTTAGACTTGCAAAAAAATTGAGACTGCAAGGCAGCTTAGTGAAAAAAATTGAGAATACAAGACGCGTAAATTATAAAACTGCTAAAAAACGAGACTATGAGACCTATGAAATTCAACAAAAATTTTGCGACATGCATGGTGTTTGAAGGACCATTTGCCACCCCTCCAACTCCTGAGTTAACCTCCCTGGTCCCAAGGATTTCTGCTTAGTTACCCAGTGTTTACATGCTAGTTACATCACACAGGTATAACCAACTTAAGACATCCAGAGGCTGATTTACTCACCAGCTTCCATTGAACCAGACCAGCGACTGACAAGTTTCTCCACAATCACTTCAAAGAGCTCGTCATCTCTCAGAGGCCTGTGGCTCATTACAATAGCATCATTAAATTCACACAAAGGATTGATGCGAACAGCACTGCAGGAGTTGTGACTTACAGCTACTTGACCACCATGAAAAGAACTGAACTTAAAAAAGTTGTCATTTGTAGTGGGAGTAACTTCCTGAGATGGGGTTGATAAAGAACATTCCATGGGCTGCTGTTCTTGTTCTGCACTGTCATGTGAATTCACTGCAATAAAAATCCCAAACAAATAGATAAATCATTTTAATAAATAAACTGCTGATTACAGTTATGGCCTGAGATGGTGCCTCACACAACAGATTTCTGTCAAAGTTTCTGTTCAAAGAGAACTATGTTTTGAAGTAACTTTATTTCATAGTATGGCAATAAGAGCTTTAAATTTTTCTTGAAGGGAAGGAAACATTTTTATGCTTTGTCATTTCTGAACACGTTTTAAGTGCAACACAGAATTCTGTTGAGAAATCCCTTCCACCAGTTGTTTTGCTACTCCAGAAAACAGAGAATATTTAGTTAGATTTCATATTATTGGAATCTTGACATACACAGATGTTAATACTTTTCAGTAATCAGGAGCCTATCAATGAGTGTCTCTACAGTGAGAACAGCAAAGATTAAAATACGTGACAAGTACAACAAACACTAAACTTAATTCTTACTATTCAGTTGAGAATTGGTTCTGGGAACTTCTCCATTTTCTTGTATCCCTGACCCTGAAATAATAGTGACTTGAGCACATTGACCAAACAGGTCAACCACACCATACACGTTAGCTGGGACACCCTGTGCTGCACAACCAAGATCTCTGCTGTTCACAAAGAAATGCAATGAACCATCATCCTTACGCATCACACCGACTGTGTCACCGACCTGACAGAATGACAAACAGGATCAGTAAAAAAAGAAGTCACACATTTTCAGTTCTGTATTTTGAAAAGAGACTTGGACTCGTGTTCAAAATATTTTTAGAAGGTTGACAAGATTACAACATGTACCTAGATGCTACCAAAATTCAGATATTCCAGTTTCACTCACTCCCTAAAGGGAAAATGAAATTCCCCAATTAAGTCAAATGCTTCCAGTACATAGAATTATTGTAACAAGAAGTATTTAAAAGTGAAATTGTGATATAGCTTGCAGTCATTTCCTTAAAAAGTAGTCGTGAACCAAGAAGAATTTGAGGTTCAAAATAAGTAAATAAAACACAAATAAAATATTACTCACAGTTAACAGATTAAGCTTCCTTTACCTTGATTTCATCCAGTGTTGGTCCATACTCTTCAATGCTAGTCACACCATCACACACTACACTCCCCCCTGACATCATCCACGTGCCAGGTGGTTGTACATTTGTCATCGTTGATGGAAACTCTAATGTTTCAGGATCATGGGTGGTGACACCAATCTCTAGCGATCCTGCCCATTTTGTCAAATGCGTGTCGACACGCACTTCAAGAAGTTCATTAGCATCTAGATGTCGACTTGTTAGAACAACAGCATTGTTAAATTCTTCATTGGCTCTGAAGGTAGCGAAAGTAAACAATAATAGACTGACTTAATTTTATTTCAAGATTCACCCCATTAAGGGTGCACTACATCTATGACTTGAAGCAGGGAAGATTTTCAGTTTCTGCATGATTGGTTAAAATGCTGGAAAGTATCATTGCTGAGTGGTCTCGAAATAGAATAAATAAAAACTGTTTTAAAAGATATTAATAACAGAAAGAACTGCTCAACAGAATGTTTATAAATTATAATTATTTTAAATAGTGATTACAAAGATGCACGTGTAACAACATAGTATCCATACCGAGGTCTGTGTGCACTACGATATCCATTAAATAAGGAAACTGACACCCCACACCGTGGATGAAAGACAAGTGCATTTCCAGAGTAATTGACTGTATTTTCATCTGAAATAAAAGTCAAGTCAAATTACCAGCAATCCCCAGATAAACACAACAAACGCTTTCATGATGGCCATATAATTTGGTTTTCCCAAACAATCAGAAATTTTCACATAAGAAAAGAATTAATTCCCAAATATGGCTACTAGGATGTTATGTGAAAATATCAAATGCTGGGCTTGGTTGAACTAAAAATCGCTGGATCTGAAACCTGCTGTACTAACGCTTACTCCTCATTAAACTCATTGACGGATGAGCTTGGGGAATGGTGCCTTCAAGGATGGGTGGAGTCACTAGCAATCTGAGCTGAGCCCGTAGGGTATCCATGACAACACTGTAAGTGGCAACCATCTGGCACCATTATATTGAACAAACAGTGGAAACAAAAATACTTACTACATACTTACCATGATAAGAGGGAGGGGTGGGCTGGGAGAAAAGCTCTAGGAGAAGAGCCCGGCAGTGAAAAACAAGTGGAATGACTTGACATCTGAAACTGAGCTTCAAACTACAAGGAGCCCCTGCATAAAACCCCAGCCACCCCACACACCAAGCTTGTGATAGACTGCTGGCCAGCAATATTATCTCGTGTTTAGCCTTACCTAAATTACATATAGCCCCATTTACATGTATCTATAATAAATTTAGGCTATGCAAAAATTTTAAAATAACTAATATACATACTATTAGATGGTTCGATTTCTTGCTCTTGTACTGGAGAGCCTGATATTATCGAAACCTTCACTGCTGCACCATAAATATCAACAGCACCATAAACATACGCAGGGAGATTACTAACTGCTTCCCCCTGATCTTGCTCATTAATAAAGAAATGAAGAGATCCAGTACTCGTTTTCAGTATTCCAATCTTGTCTCCAGCCTATGGAAAGAAAAACAAATATTCAAGATCTCAATTCACAATTTGTTCAATTTATAAGTTTGAGCTAGAACTTCAACTTTGACTTAGAGTTGAGTTGTAATTTCAAATGCAAGTCCAAATACCCATAAATTTTATGCTTTGTTTTAAGATTACAAAAACCATGATGGTTTATTATCAAGAAGTCAAGTAACTAACGGTTGAGATGTTAATTTACAGTGTGAAAGGTGTAAGAATATAACTTTAAGTGTAACACAGTCTTATTAAGAGTTCTTACATGTAGGTGTCAACAGTTAAACGTGTGGATTAAACTTAGGTAAGTACTTTCACAAAAACTGAGTCTGCCTGTGTATTGAGGTTTGGTTTTCTTCCACAAATGAAAAGCATTTTGTGAATTAAACAGTTCAGTTTTCCTTGGCACTTTTTTAACACAGAAACATGTTAGACAGGTAAGGGAACTTGACACTGTGGTCTCATTTCAAGTGGTCGCCAAAAGCTGAGGTTCTATGCTCTTTGATGCAATGGTAAAGATGACAAGTGTTATAGCCGAGATAATCTGCATCGCACAGATCACATTTAAAATAATAACTTTTTGTTGTGATTTAAGATGTTAAGTCGGGTATAATTTGAGCATATTTGAACCTAATGAGTACCTTTATAATTCTGGTTGAAATGCACATAACAGCAACGGTCAAAGATGACAAGCCTGAATTTTGTATTACCCACAGTTCCAGTACTACTGATATGATTTAATAAATGAAACTATAATAAATTAAAATTTTATTACATGGAACACCATAGGATGAAGTAAAAGCAGGATGGTGAAACAGGAAAACAACTACACCACACTACACTAGAGACTAGAGAAACTATCAAAACAAAGCTTGAGTACCTGGAGTGTTTCTAGGTTGATGCTTGAGTACTCCCTCCGTGCTTCCTTGCCGTTGACAATGATTGACGTTCCACTAAGCATCCATGTCCCCGTTGGCATACTTGTCATGGTCGGCGGTAATACAATGTCATCTGGATTGTGACTTGTGACACCCACTTCTATAGAACCTGCCCATAACTCTGTTACACATTCTATTTCGACCTAGAAAGCAAAAGTTATCTAAATTATGAGCTTTTGAATTTTATTATCAATAGTGTACCATACTGTACTATATAGACAGTTCTCAGTAACTATTTATCATTTTCACACACCACCTTTAGCCACGTCGAAATGACCGCTGCCTGACCTTTTCTTGCAAAATCAAAGCTAACACAAATAGCATTATGCTAAAGACTGGAAATAACAAAAAAGTTTAAGGCTTGTAAATTATACTGGCATTGTATAAAAACCTAAAATCTTCAGGTGGGTGGGTGGCAAAAGTTGGCAATGGCAGATGCAACAGAAACAACTGCCCGCCCTCCCCCCCATAGGTCACATGACCTACATCCAGACCCCAGCAGTGTGAGAAAAAACATTTTTCACTTATCTCCTTTCACTCAGCCAGTGAAAAATTACTCTCACAGTCAATCAACACTCTCAAAGGAGACAATGCTGTGATTCGTATGGTGTGATCGTCCGTGGGAGGGTAGTTCTGAAAAGAACCATTGTTGGTGACTGACGTCTCGACAACCTGAGTGGAAGTCATCTTCAGAGTCAAGTGATATAGGTCTTGACTCTGAAGATGACTTCCGCTCAGGTTATCAAAACGTCAGTCACCAACAACGGTTCTTTTCAGAACTACCCTCACTCGCACGATCACACTATACAAACTACTGACACTCCTGGGTTCAAACCATTTACTACAATGCTGTAAGGCTGACAGTCTTACTGATCCTGGATGAATTTTGCTCATTTCTCTGTGACTGAACTCTCTTCAAGGTGGACATTCCTCTAAACAGGACAGCTAGAGCCACCACACCACAGGATGTCCACCTAAAAGACAGTTTACCATATAGAAAAATGGTCACTCTTCTCCATCCTTATTGTCCACTTACTTCAAACAGTTCATCATTTCGTAAAGGTACATTTGTAAGTGTCACAGCATTTTTGAATTCTTCTGTTGGTCGCTGACGTTCAGCTGTTCTGTTATTGTTGGAGAGTCTTATTAATGATCCACAATGAGGATGGAAACAAACTGAGGCAGTTGATGGAACAGTCCGCGAGTCTGCTGCAGATGTACCTGTTGACACAGTGACATTAAGCTGTAAGAGAAACATTTCTCACTATTTTTAGAAGAAATTAATTTTATAACTGAGATTTCATAGCATCCTTTCATACATTAGAATTATTACATCCAGCACTTTAATTGCATCAATCTCTTCATGCATTCTATTAAATATCTTAAGGACCACCCAAGATCAATAAACAATCCTTAATATCAGATATAGTTAACTTAATTAAGCTGAAGTTAAGTGAGTTAATAAACGAAAAGTGGTTACTAGCTAGGGTTCACGTTACTGTAGTTACTTACCCGATAAGCGATTATATGGCTTATAAATTGATATCTCAACGCATCTTCCGTACAAATCTACAACAGCGAAAACATTTTGAGGAATGTTTGTAGCCGCTACTCCCAGGTCAACACCATTGACAAAGAAATGTAGGCTTCCGTGAGCCTTCCTTTCAACACCAACTCTATCGCCTTCCTTAAGTTCATCAAGATCTTGACCATACTCCTCCACAAAAGAAGATCCATCCTTCAGAATGGACATCCCAGACATGATCCATGAGCCATTTTTGAGGCCCGTTGAGCTGGAGGGAATTTCCATAAGGCTGGGATCGCCTGTTGTCACACCAATAGCCCAAGACCCAGACCAGTTGCCGATTTTACGGTCCAGCCGTACCTCGAATAGTTCATTGTCTCTCAGTGGGTTCTTGCTGAATATCAGGCCATTGTTAAATTCAGCGGCTGAGCTTCGCCTCCTAGCGCTACGGTTCTCGTTGCTTAAAAATACCAGACTTCCATGACATGGATGAAACTCCGCCATCTTTCACATAAAATTACTGTTCTCATGGTGTTTACCACTGACCTCTCCAGTCTAGCCTGAACTATATTTTGAAACGGTCTCTGATTGGCTTATAAATCTCATGGCAGATCAACCAATTGCACGACACCTTAAAAATGCGCTTCTTTCTTTTCCTGGACGAGCTTGGACGAGAAGAAGCACTAAAAGTGAAAGTAAAAACTAAGCAGAAAAGCCTTTCGAAATGGACAAAAAGCACAGAGAGCTGCTCAGAAAGAACAGACTTGCGCTAGTTCAAGATCTAGAGGCCGCACAACTATTAAATTATCTATTTCAGGAAAACTGTTTATCGGAGAATGATGTCGACAGCATCAAGGTACAGGCGACTCCGAGGGCCAAAGCAGAAAAACTACTGGATATTCTACCTCGCCGCGGACCACAATCGTTCGATGTGTTTTGTCGTGCGTTAGCTAATACTGACGGCCAAGGCCACCTGGTGGATTTATTGAGAACGAATGAATCAATTGCTTCAGGTAATTAGTAATTCAAGACTTATGTTTAATTTAATATTTCTACCACTAGCTTATCAGAATCATTCTTTATTGCATTTGGCTGGGTTTATTTGATAGGGGAAGACTTTTTACCGTCCGAGACATGCTCAAATGACTTTCGTAGCCCCTTTTGGAGGTCTTGTCAAAAAAATGGACTGGTCCAAAGACTCCTCATTCATGGGACAGATCTTTGAATAAGCTTATTAGGTTGTGGATGGTGTGGGAGTTCTCCTTACTTATAGCCTGTAAACGCAGACATATTTCGGGCTGTCACTTGTCTTTGCCGAAAATAACATCTGTGAACCCGAGCCAGGAAACGATTCCTGTGACGTAGGAATTTTAAGCCAATCACAGTTTAGCTCAAGTAGCCCAAGAACTACTGCGCGAGGTATTCGCTGCGAGGAGCACTCGACTTTCATTCTATCATGGAATATGATTGGCCAAAGAGAAACAAAAGTCATTACGTCACAGAAATCGTTTCCTGGCTCGGGTTCACAGACATTATTTTCGGCAGAGACAAGCAACAGCTGGAAATATGTCTGTGTTTGCAGGCTACCTTACTTATGTATATCAGAATTTATGAATACAGTCATGTATTGGCACAGAATGTTAGAAATGATCAGAAAATGCCCTGTTTTGAAATCAGATACATCCGAAAAATCAATAGTATATTTCAAGGTACAACTCGTGCTTGACCTTTCCAGGTCTTTCAGTCATGTTCCATGGAGAGATATGTCTGGATTTATGAAAATTTATGAAAACGTTGTTTTCTTCCCGGAAAATCAAATCAAAACTCTGAAGTAGATGATATAAAATTTAGAGGAATAGCGAATTATGTCAGTCTTTTTTCCTCCACTCTCTTATCTTTCTTTTTGCACGTTGTACTTTTCCTCTTTCTATGAGACTTTGATAACTTTATTGATATCTCTAACTGCCTGTCAGGGTAACTGAAGCCAACAAAATTTGATAAGGCGTATCACAGGGTAAACCAAAAACAATGATCCCTGGGCTGCAGACAACTCACTACGGACCGTGTCAATAGATGCACCCTATGGAACACCCCAAAAATAGAATAAAAAGTGAAAAATAAAGATTTCACTTACAGGTATTCTGATTGATCACTCGTGTTGGCAAAATTTCAAGTGAAATTTCTCTTTTTGGGGTTACCTAGAGTAATACATTAAAATTAGGCAACAATCCCTTAGGATATGGTGGAAACCAGGATGTGCAACCCCTCGTCCTCTTTGTAGTGGATATGTGTAACAAAGAAACAAATCTTGTTTGTATTTTCAAGGAGCAATTTCAAGCACCACTACTGAAAACATAGGCAAGATCTCGTCGGAGATGAATGATGGTAACAGCAGTCCTTTTCCTTCCCATCAAGTGAAAGTAGTAAAACCAAATGTTTCCTTTTCCTCGCAAGTGAAAAAGAATGTCTCAGGCAGTACTGATGAGGATTTTGTGTACTCCATGAAATGCAAACCTCATGGTTGGTGTTTAATTGTGAACAATGTAGACTTTGAGCATCTTAACAGAAGAGGTGGTTCTGACCTAGATGCCCAAAAGCTTGAAGAACTGTTTACACAACTGCAGTACAAGGTGAAAATGTTTAGAAATCAAACCTCAAAACAGCTCAAGGAAACTCTCCTCCAGTTTGCTAAATTAGATGATCACAGAGTGGCTGATTCTATGGTCGTCTGTCTTCTGAGTCATGGCTTGGAAGGGCAAATTTATGGCATCGATGGAGTTCTTGTGTCAATACCCGATCTGCTTGCGCTTTTCAATGGGTACATGGCTAAAGACCTAGTGGGCAAACCAAAGTTGTTCTTCATACAAGCATGTCGTGGAAGTGATTTTGATCATGGTGCAGACATGACAGATGGTGCCCATATTCCCGGAGACCTCCATGTAAAGCAATCCACTGAACAGCTTCTTAATGCAGCCTTTCCAACAGACAAGGTTGAGACATTTGTCGAACCAGAAACACTTCCTGCTGAAGCCGACACGTTGGTTGCATACTCCACCGTACCTGGATATGTGTCATGGAGTAATCTGCAGAAAGGCTCATGGTTTGTCCAAGCCATAGTTGATGTTTTCAGTGCTTATGCTCATGAAGAAGATGTTGTCAGTATGTTAGTTCGAGTTAATGGTAAAGTTGCAAGAGAGTTTGAGTCATTTAATAGAAAGAAGCAGATTCCTGCTCCTGTAATAATGTTAACTAAGAAAGTTTTCTTCTTTCCTTCCTAACTAATGTGGAATTCAAAACTACCGTGAGAATAGAAAACTGTTGGTGATGTGCTAACTAACACAGTCAAAAATACTCAGCGAGTTTTGACCAAGAGCAAATTGACGAATTATTTGTTGCATGTGATTTCATTGCTTGTGTCAATAGTATGCCTCTTAAATTAAGAGTTGAAATTCAAAACCTGACACAATCCAATCATCATAGACTTCTTTTATCAGTAATGCAATATAGGGGGCGTGGCCAACCTATATTTTCATAGCCTAGGAATTTTTATCAACCCCATTTTAAATTTGCTATAGCAGCCTTAAGTTTGCAGATGAGTCAGACCACATTTTTTTTTTCAGTATCTTAATGTTATATATCTTGCAACTACTCAGAACTGTAACTCAGGCCCTGCCACAATAACATTAATGCTCATCAGGAAAGCAAAAACCTCTAGGCTAGGTAAGTGACAGGCAAATGCTCAGTGGTATATGTGCTGTCAAAGACAAGTAGGCCTTTACACATTCTGCTCGAAAAAAGACTATTCTGCTGTAAAGAATTGCCCCCAAAAAGACTATTCTGTTCGAAATTAGGCTCCAGAAGTACTATTATGCTCAAATTATGCTTTGTAAAAATCAATATTCCTGGGTTCAAAATATTCAAACATGAAAAATAAGATATTATTTCACCCATCATATCTAGGGGGAGGCTAAACCAACATATGCACATTTTTTATTAAATCCTTAAAACTAATATGGGTAATAACTTGTCTTTGACAAGTGCATCCATTTAATTGCAAGGAGTCAAAATTAGAACATTCTGGTGATTGAAGAGCAAAGAGTTTAAGAAATGTTAGGGTGATGTCAGAATACACATAAAATCACAAGAAGGAGAAGGAGAAAGCATTTTTGAAGGTGTTTACCTGAAAATTTTCCAGGGAACATATTTTAAAAGTGATGTCAACAATAATAAGCTTGACAAGTGATTTGATAGTTGTCGTATTTGGACAAGAAATATTGTTGAAATGTTCATTTCCGACCAAATGAATGTTCACATGCCTTGATTGTGGCATCAAACACTGATCTTCCAATATGCTGCTGTGGTGTAACAAAGTGCATTAAAAAGTGATATTATGCTGTGGAAATATATTAACATATTAAAAGCTTTTACCCATGTTTCAAAGATCAAGTTGTAGTTATTGACTTTGGTCACCCTAGAGACAAGCTCAACTGGCCATTGTAGAAAGGTCCCTAATGTGGGGTTGTTGGGAAAGTAACATGAAACTAAAGATAAGTATTTCTAGTAATTTTTCAATTTGTATAGCATTTTAATATCAGTATAGAGACGAAGTATTTGCAATGTCCCAAGTGAATGAATGGTTTTCCCAGTGGAAAAAGATATTTAAAAGGAGGTGTAAAAACACTTTGGACATTTAATAGTGGTGGTGAAGCATAATGAGAGGTGCTGGATTTCTGGATTTGTTTGAATGTTTTCATGCATGACCAAGACCTAAATCCCTGGCCCAACAGACTCGCAAAAAGTCACAAGCTTTTACTTGCAAGTGAGTTTGGCCAGGCCTTGCGTGCACTTGCCTTCACTTGCTATGACTTGCACTCTCTTTGGTCAAGATCAAATTTTTTACTGTTTGGCCAACCAAACCAAGTCAATGCAAGTTGAGTGACGTCCCTACATTGTGTTAGCAACCTATTAGCTAATGAACTACAGGATATGACTACAGCCTGTAGCCTTGAAATGGTTTTTTTTGCGACTTTTGTGTACTTGCGAGGAAACTTGTGAGTCTGTTTGGCCACCCATCACAAGTCTCTAGGCAAGCTCAACTTAACAGCAACTTACAACTACTTATGAGTTCATTTGGCCAGGACTCAATCAGGCTCAACGAGGCTTTAATGGTCAGTATACAGATCATTTCCCTAGGGTCCCACACCAATAACTTTTAAAACAAAACTCAAACACATGACCGCAAAACAGAACAACCGCTACTTCAGCAGGAAAATTTTCCCCTTTTATTGTATGTCTTTTTCAAAAACATTACTGACATCACCCATCACCTCATTCAGAATTAACCTTATAACAACCTGATAAAATGATAACTTCTCCCAACAACTTTGTCCTATTATCCAATTTAGCAGGTTATGAGAATGACAAACTCCATGATCACAAGAAAGACTTCATGAATTAGGAAGCAAATTCTCCAAAGGAAGGAATATTATAAATGAAATGTAAACAACAAGGAGAATTGATAGCTGATCAAGGTTGTTATAAGCTCTTCACTTGGAAGAGTCAATACCTCAGAGGCAATGACTGATTCTAAGTGGTAAGTTTGGTTATTAGACCATTCAAATGAAAGACATTGAGTAGTACTTCCAAAGTGGTTCTTACTTTAGATTCTGTAGGTGTAGTGTATGACCATTCACATGAAAGCTTTTGAGAAGTACATTTGTAGTGCGGATTATTTCCAACATTTTTGTGATGTTAACTTTGTGAAAGGTATAGGAATAAGGTAAAGCTACTGATTCAAGAAACAGGCAGTGACGTCACACCAGTTGAGTTTTATATTGAAACTATACAGGTGAATGGTTAATCAAACCATCTAGTCTACAGTTTCTCTGATGATGTACATCGGCTACCATTAATCACTTATCGAATATGATGTATTTTATGCCAAATTTTACACCAAATTTTACGCAGCCTTTATCGGGGTGGTGAATGGTTCTTCAAAAACCATGGTTCTTGCAAAATTTTTGTCAAGTTCCACAGGTCTAGCAGTCCAGTCTTTTAGTGGCTATGGGCATCTCACAGTCTTTATTTTTTTCACAAAGCTGTCTTATAGTCTCAATTTTTAGGAAGGCTAAGAAAGTCTTAAATTCCTAATTTCTTTGTTTGTTCAATATATGAAATCTGAATGCTTTAGAGTCTGAATATCTCACACTTGAATTTTAAACAGTGAAGTCTCAGTCTCACAATTTAAAAATTCAAAATGTCTCGGGCTCACAAAAAAAGTTGCCAGTCTTGCCTTCTTGCTAAGTCTCACATTTACCATTCACCAATCAATTTGTTAATGATTAAGCTTCTAAAGAACAATGCAATGCCTTCAGCTGTGTCATTATACACTTTACTACCAATCAAAGCAAGATTTTGAAGCACAAGACTGTGATTTCACACTGGTGATGGTCACATGAAATGTTAATTCTCTGAACAGTGAAAATTCCATGGTTTTGTGCTATCATCAACCCAGAGCTCAACAATCTAACAATCTTGGGTTCAGATCTCTTGCTATGATCATGGCCATATGGCATTAGTCACACTAATGTTTTGTTGCTAACTTTTATCCTCTGTGAATTTGTGAACAGAAAATTATTCTGAATGCTAAACTCTTTGATTGGCAGGTCCTCGTCTTCTGTGAGTGTCATATGGAGAGCCATTACTAGATGAGTACCTCTCATATACTACCATGGAAGCGGCATGAGATGCATTTCCAGGTGATGTCACAATGCCATTACATAAGTCAGAATTAACCCTGGCTGCCTCTGAATGATCTGTTTCTGATGTGTTGCGTTGTGGGCCGTCTTCTTCTCGAAGGGCTTCCTCATAACTTGGTGGAGGCCTATATTCTTGTGCAACAGCCTCACTGTAACTTGGGGGTTTGGGGGCTTCTTCAGCTGTATGTGAGACCATTTCAATATCACTTGGCGACAGAGTTGTGGCATGGTGTTCACCCACTTCAGATCGGGCAGCTGCTATTTTTTTCCATGCCCTCCAAAGCCAGACACCTACTATAAGCATCCCCCCTACGATGCTGACAGGCCAGAATCTGTACCAGGAAAGGAAACCAGGTTCTTCAGGTTCTTCAGTTTCAGGACAATCCTGCTCATCAGAACCATCGTCGCACTCTTTTTCACCATTGCATGTGGTGTGACTCTCAACACACTGACGGTTGACACAGGTAAACTTCTGCCGCCCACAGACACTCCTGGCAGATGACTCATAACGCAAGGAAAACCATCCAATATCTTCCCCTTCGAGCTTGGACACCACCTTGATCATCAACTGATTTGTCCTAGAAATAATTTTGCTAGGCATTAATTCCCCACAATACATGCCAAGTTTATGAGAGGAATCATCTAGCCCATCGTAAATCTCCAAAAAGCCATCGTCACAGACTCCATCGTTTTTAACACCGAAGTTCAAGGTGTCAAAGTATAAATGCGCATGCATGTCAGAAGCCACCCTTATTTTCCACACGCATTCTTGCCCGGGTGGAAAGTGATACGGGTAATTTTGAGAGTAAATGAAGCCTGACGGATCACTTAGAGTGCCTCCACACGTACCCTCTCCAGCTGAAATGGTGCGGTAATTCGCTACGAATCCCGATTGCCCACCAGAGAGGTCGCTCTTAAACCTAAACCACAGATTGCTACCCCTTGTTGAGTAAATAATAGGCGGTTTTTCATTGCCGCAATAGCGACGCCCTCGAGACTCCGCTTGACTACTTGAGAGTTTGAAGTATCCGATTTCTTTCACTTCCAGAAAATCGTATAAACAAACAGGCATTCGACCTTCGACGTTAAAGCTCTCGAACTTTACTTTAATTCTTCCTTTAGGTACATCAATACTGTAGATGCAATCTTTGTTGTTTTGGTAAGGTAGTGGATAGCCGGGCGAAGTAAAGCTGCCTGTGGTCTTCGTGAAATGGCTCCCACATACAGACTCCCATGACAGCCGAAAGCGATTCCCACTGTAGGTACGAAAATTGGAAGCAAATTGAATCCATATTACATTTCCAGTGGAGAACACATATTTAGGTTCCCTCTTGGCACAAAATTGTCCGATGAGTGTCGAATTGTCAAGCGATCCATCGCGAATTTCTAAGAAATCATGTATACACGAGCAACATGATGTTTTCATAACAAAGTCCGTGAACGTAATTTTCACGCGAAGCCTCTCTGGCACTGTTATTGTCCATGTACACTGCAGACTTTCGCCGACATGTCCTCCGCTTATCGGAAAACGGAGGTCTCCGGAACTACCTTGAAGGTGGTCGCCGCATGATGAACAACAAGCTTGCATAATCCACACAACTATGAGTTGCACGATAATCCCACTAACCTTCGCAGCCATTCCTGAATCGCTTGCATTTGACCCTCAGTTGGCGAAAATTGAGGTCAGCTATAAAAGATATCGGGTGGATTGACTGGCGAAATCCCGCTGTCGAAACAATTTGTCCTCAAGAGCCAAATTTAAATTTATTTTAAGTGACTCATCAAGTACACTGTCACAGCACTTGTCGGACAACAACTAAGCTCTTGAATGAAGAGGTAATAAAGAGGTATCAGCTCTTCACCGCTACCGCGCACCATTCCACAGGCAACCGAATGACACAGAACACCCCAGCGTAGAGTTTCTTTACACAACAAAACAATCAGCGAATCCTGTTTGGCAATTAGGGGCACGCAGGCTTGACTAATGGCTATGCGCTATACAAGACTCGCTTATCTATCCATCTTTCCTTTCCTCTTAATGTCTTTGATGAGGAAAAGTGCCGCACACGAACCAATGAAATCGGACCTTTTCTTATTACGCGCGAGTTATTTGACAAATCTTTGACGAAATGAATGTCGTGTGTGTGTTTTTTTCAAATCTATTTATTTAGAATATGGCAGTCTGCGAAGGCAGGTGACAGTCGACGAATCTAAATCTGCATAAGTTGAAATCATAAATCATATTGCTTTAATTTCACAGATCGTTTCCGATTAAAACGGTTCTGTTCTGCTAAGACCACAAAGAAAACATTGAATAAATAAATCAAAGTAAATTTATTTTAGTTTATCACACTTGTAGATCTTCCAATTAGTAAACAGGTAGGTTCTAGACACTGCTAAGGAGATTAACTAAGGCGGAACAAATCAATTTTAGTAAATTACAGAGCTTTCACAAATTTATGCTCTTGCACTTCAAAGGTGAAGGTGTACCGGATGGGCGGGGTGGGATGGGGGTGGTGAAGGGGGCTGATGGCACCTACCCCCTACCAGTTCCAACCAATACCCCTACCCCTATCAGGATGACAATAGTTCCCAGTCTTCTCTCTTTTCCGTGTGTATAATGGCCGACTTGGAAAAACAGAATATCGCTATTGAGCTCCGTAAATTTAGAAAAAAGCTTCGCCAAATAGAGAAGTTGGAGGAATTAGAGCGGGATTTGACAGAAGAGGAATTTTTAAAGGTAACAGATAGTTAATACAGTAGTACTTTCTGTCTTAAAGCGATTGTAAACGGTAAACAATGATTTTCTGGGCAGCCACGTACACTGTGGCTGGTGCAGATGACCAGTAAGTTGAAATTTATAATCTTTTTTTCTACGGATATCACCCAAAAACTTTTATTCCTTTTGCGCGAAAAGAAATATCATCGTAATTAGCGTCAAAGATAAGCAGACGCCATTTACGCTCCAATTGTTATTCATGAATAATAATTATATTATTTATAGTTGGTTAATTTGAATTGAATTGCAAGTTCCAGCAAATTAATTTCAGCGTGTTGGCCATTATGTAAAATGCATATTTCCCCAGTCACTTCAGCTTAGAAGTCATCTTGCAGAGAAAAAAGATTAGTAATAGTAATTGGACCGAGCGGAGTACAATTCAGGGAGTAATTGCACAAGTAATTTCAAAATCGGATGAGTGTGAAGTGCAAGGCCGATTTCAAATAACGAGCATGATTACTCCCTGAATTGTATGACATGAGGTCAAGTTACTAATTAATTGTATTTATAACAAATTTCGAAATTTGAAAAGTCTTTGGTGAACTCCTTTTGAGCATAAAAGTCAGTAGCATGCACTTTCCATAAGTTCTAAAAAGTCGTAGGAAACATTAAGAAGGAAGCCATTGAAGCGTACATAATTGACATGCAAATCATGTGGGTATCTAATTAGAGGTACCTGTAATTGGATACCCATGTGATCGCATGCCAATTATGTGACAAATAGGCACACAGAGAACCAATCAGGATCAATAATTTTGTTATAGATATGATTAGAATCATAAGAGTCTTCATCACAGGTATCCCAAGCTCCTTGGGTAGTTGGGAGCTGTGAACTTTATTATCTGACATTGTGCAACAGAGTAAATATAAGAGTTAGTATGGGAATGTAACGATCATATGTGACAGTTCAAAATATGGAAAAGAAATTGAATAAAGACAACTTTCCTCAACTCTTCCATGTGTTACTTTTGTGTCCATGCCATTTTGGAGCCATTTCAACACAATTTCAAACTGAATCTCGCTGAAATCGCTTGCAGTAGTTGGAAGCTGGGAGGAGCTACTGAACATTTTTTGATTGACAGTAACAAAAAACGCATTTGTCAGTTGAGCTTTGAACTTTAGAGTCCGCATGTTATTGAAAGGCACAGGGAATTTATATAGCACATAGACACTGCTGTCCAAAGTGCTTTACAATAATAAAATCTTGTAAAATTCAAGCCTTTTTACACAATAACTGAAACTAATTGAATACTGAATTACAAATTCTAAAAGTTAATTAAACTCAATATATATAAGGAATTCCCAGGGCAGAGGGAAGCTTCTAATGGTGCTTTGTTTTATAGCTCAGTCCTTGATTAAAATGCTACATTCTAACTCTCATCTGTATTTCTTAGAGGTTGTCATTTGTTATATACAGGGTCCAAAGTTATCTTAAATTTTCTCTCAGTGCCACTGTTTTATTGTAGCTTTCTAGGAAGGATGAAGTACGCTCCAAAGTGCAAGAGTTGGTGGCTAGAGATGAAGAACTGAGCTCTGAACTGAAAACCATGGAAAGTGCAGGGCAACAAGATGAACAAACTTCTTCGAATGAACAAGAAGAGGCAACAAATATACCAGCTACCGTAGAGACTCAAGCCGAGGAATCTTCACAAGAAGTCATCAGTGAAAATGTTCTGAGTGAAAATGAGCAGGCTTCACTAAATGAAATTTGCAATCAGACTCCTGAATCAACATGCCCCAGAATAGCTGAAGTTGAGACAGCAAATACTGCCATTACAAGAGAACCATTGATGTCATCTTCCAACAGAACTTACATGAAGTTTTTTGTCAGGAATTTGGAAGGTCATAATGATGTGATATGTGACGTTGCTTGTTCAGGTTCAGTGCTGGTGTCCGGAAGGTATGTTGCCTTTGCTCATGATTTAGAATGTGTCTTGGTTTGTCTACATGGCAGGCATTGCTTGAAAAACTGAAGGAAAGAGGGATTTGGATGTAAACATGAAGCACTAGAAGAAGAGACCCAACCCTAACCCTAACCCTGACTAGTAAAGGCTGCTTGTGGNTGGAAAAGAGGAAATATGTTTAAAACAAAAAATAGAGTCTAATAGTTCTTGCATGGTTAAGAAGCTCAGTGTGTCGTAAGATTTGAAATTTGTTTCTTGTCTGAGTTTAACTTTACTGCCACACTTTGTTACTACACTGAGTTAATTATCGGTCTTCTTTGCAGCCGCGACACCATGCTTAAATTATGGGATGCCGATACAGGGCGAGAGATGAGAAGCATGGGCGGACATACGGGAACGATAACGTCAGTTTTTCTTTTACCAAAAAAGGGAATGTCGTCATGCGGTGAGTGGGATTGTCTGTCTGTCTCTGTTCGTTGGCCCGTCCACCCGCCCAACTGTCTGTCCTGTTTGTTCACGTGTCTGCTTGTTTTTCTATCTTCCAGTTTATCTGTTTGTCTGTCTGTCTGTCTGTCTATCTATCTATCTCTGTCTACGTCTGTCGGTCTTTCTGTTTGTCTGTGCCTGTCTGTCTGTGTGTCTTTTGTCTGTCTGTCTGTCTGTTTGTCTGTCTATCGGTTTACCATGCTATTCTCGACTTTTCGTATTCTTATAGAAGTGCCTTCCAGCTTTCGAACTGACCAGTACTCGGTGCTCACGGGCTCTAAAGATTGCTCCATGAAAATCTGGTCCCTCTCAAGCGGTAAGTTGTGTACTGATCACACTTTTTTAGCTGATAACTTTCGTTCGCTCGTGCACAACCCTTGATTTCCACATGATTTTGAAAAAGACAAAGGTAGACGCACGCTTTTCCACTTTCCTTAGATTTTTTGCTGTGACCCACTCCTCTAGTCTACTCTCAGTAGCCTGCAGAACAGGCGGATTAGCGGGCTCTAGCTCGATACACGAGCGCGCGCGCGAGGTGCGAGGCGAGAAAAATCCTCGTCTCNGTAGCCTGCAGAACAGGCGGATCAGCGGGCTCTAGCTCGATACACGAGCACGCGCGCGAGGTGCGAGGCGAGAAAAATCCTCGTCTCGCGCTTCGCGCGCGCGCTGGTGTATCGCGCTAGAGCCCGCTAATCCGTCTGTTCTGCAGGCTAACTCTCAGTGACTGCTCGTTCCTTATGACTGATAAAGTCAACAGGCTATTATTCCCCTCGTCCCTCCCCAACTCAGGAAAGATGAAGAATTTGGAAGAAACCCCTGTGGTAACTTTTTTCTCGTAAAGATAAGGGGTTATGGTAAAGATAGGGGTTACTCCCGCCAGCCTGCGTCGCAGACGCTACCTACCGCGGGTTACTACAGGTAAATTTCCGTCTGCAACGCAGGCTATACTGCCGTTAGCCTGCAAATACAGCCGCATCTCATTGTTTCCGACTTGTTTGGCTCTCTCGCACTAGGCGCCCGCGAGATTTCTGAACGTTAAAAAAACGTGGCAATAAGGAGTCAAAACGTGACCTGACAATAAGGGGCTTAAACGGCCGCCAAAATGATTTTATATTTTACCAGCGAAATTCGTAATTCTCTAGATCTGTTCAGTACGCCAATGGCTCTAAAAACGTGCTCAGGTTAAATATGCAATGACAGTGTTAAATTCCAAATGGAAATACGAATACAAAGGAATACGAATGCCTGAATTAGCGGTTCTGTCCTCGTGTACCGGTTCACAAGAACCGATACAAAAGACCCAACAATGTTCAACAGCTAAACAAAGGTTCGTAAAGAAAGGAGTACAATGGTTATTCCCTCTGTGTACCGGTACACCAGGACACAACCGAATTAGCCGTGGTCGTTCACGTTTCTCTTCACGATCTTGTTTTGCAGAGGACGGCAAAGAAATGTACAAAATCTGAAAGATTTATTACGCCCGTGCACAGCCATTGTTTTTTTACTCATTAAACCTTTTGTTTAGTGACGTTCTCGTTGCCGTCGTCTTCGTGGTTTGCTTGAGCTCCCTAATAATATTACATTGGAGTCACAACGTGACTCTTTGCTCTCGTGGCACCGAATCGTTCGATTTTGAGGCGGCTATCACGGCATCAGACAGTTTTTAAATTGTTTTCTTGGTCCCCTGGGGATCCCCTGGGGGTCCCCTGGGGGCTGTTCTCACTTTGTTGCATGTCAGGCGTAAAATTATTTTCTGGTTTGACAAGTGTTAAATACGTAAACAAACACCCGTTTTGGAAGAACAAGAAAATTTCGATTGAGCCATAAGAAAGAAACTTTCTCTCTATCGAAGTGTATAAGGTCTATTAGCTTATTACACGAAGAATGGGGTTCATTCGTAAAGGTCCGTAAACCTTGCTAAAATTGGTTTCATTTATAGACTTCATACGCAGTTCGACATTTTTACATTTTCTTTCAAGTGCGTGTTGCGCAGTGAAATGGTTTCCTGTAACGTGGATTTGTTTTCTCTTTTTGTAGGTCAGATCAAGCGATCCATGTATGCCTTTTCACCTGTTGAGTGCCTGGATTGCACCAGTAATCTAACTGCTGCTGGACTAGGTTGGTTGGTCAAAGTTCTTTGGTTTGCATGTGATACGACCGTGTGTGTGCGTGTGGATCTGTTGAACTTTGTACCGCTTGGTTTCGTTGTAAACTACCGCTCAAGATTTTCGTCACAATTGACTCGCGCTCGCTTAAGGTCGATTACATTGTGTAACATACTCACTCTGTTGTTGTTGTTGTTGTCGGGGTTTTATTAGTTCATAACAAAATTTTTTCTCTAACTGCGCAATTCAAGTTCAAAGCCGCTCAAGATATCAGACGACTAGTGACAGAGAGTTGTAGTTATGTTTATAAAAATACAGTGCTTATTTAAATGAAAACTCCTGTACTGGCAATTCCAAATGTACTAGCATTTGGAAATAAGAATTCTAAAGAGAAAAGGAGTTACTAGAAGTCTTTTGGTTTTCTTATGTTTAATTTTTGTTAGTTATATGACCACTTTTAGGTGATTGGTGACGTCAAGAGACTGACGAGAGTACAGTGATCTATAGTCAAGACCAGGGTCCTCCCTGAAGATGTATAAATTAAAAGCTTTTTTGTTGTTTCTGCTTTGAGCGTCTTTTGATCATGTGTGATCAGGTGATGTTTCAAATAAAGGAAATGCAAATTTCAAACCCTGAACAACTAGGTACATGTAGTTAACATTGTTAACATATTTCTGGAAGGGAAAGTGATAGGCCAAAGGCCAAGAACTTTGCTTGCAGTTGGATTCTCAGGCTGAAGGCCAAAATGTCAAAGATAACACACATAGGTCAGAAACTTCTCAAGTGATAGACTATTTACAGACAGGAGAAGAGGAATTTTTTTGCTTTTGTTGATTATTTCAGATGGCGGTAAGCTTGAGCTTTGGGATCTGGAGACAGGAGCGATTGTGAGATCGGTGCGCGGCCACGATGAAGATGCTGTCACAGCTGTCAAGGTAACTATGGTAACGTCAAATTCTGTTTGGGAGGGCAGGCGGGTGGAAGTCACGCGCTACATGCAAACTTGTTAGTCAGCATTTTTAGCCTGTAAAATGGTGTTTTTCTGGTAGCAAACACGAACAGAAGTCTAGCAGCTCTCGTAAGCTTGTAATTCTTTTGCTTGTTGGCAGCTGTTGTTGTTTTGGGGCTAGGGGCATTGTTTCTGTTGTTTGTTCTATTGCCCTCTCAAAGGTTCACAAGCCATTCATGTGAGACCTTACGAGAGCTGCCACCCGAACCAACACGAACACCCTTGCAGTCGATGTAGAACAGATGGACGAGACAGTATAGTTGCAAACGTTGAACAAGACCTGTTATTGGTTTTGTCTACCTACTTCTCACTAAATTTTTGTTGTTGTCTTTTCCTTAATTTCCTTAAAGATGTTTGTGCATTTAAGGTGATAATCGGGATTTCTGTCTTTCTCGTCATAAGAGAGACAAAAACATAGCGTTTAGGACGGCGCATGGTTACATACCGTGTGGCACGAAATTTTTGCGGGATTTTAATTTTGCGGATCGGCGATGTTTTGTATTTTGCGGGAACTAACTTTTGGGATTGTAAAAGACTAGTTTTTCTTGCTGGTTATTAGTTTTTGCGATTTCAGGAGGTCGCGTTTAATTGAAATTACAATATTTTGTTGTATTTTTTTATTATTAAGCTATATGCCATCGACAGGTGAAAAAAACATAAAGAGATGTAAAGCACGGTGATTAGTGTTAACCACGGCTATCACAATGACATCTTACCCTAGTGTGGCTAATTGCTCCGGCAATGGATCAGCAAAAACTACGGTACAATTGATGCTTATCCCTCGAGTTTTGTGAGGCGAGGTGACCTCTAGAAACCATCAGGCTTTTAGTTGAGGCCACCTCGTACCTATAACAATACGGGTTACATAAATAGTGCAACAGTGTGCGGCTTTGCCAGTTCAGTAATTATTTTACTAAAAACTCTAGCAGTTTTTTCTTATAATCGGATCGTGGGAAAAACGCAAAAATCGCAAAAAATTTGTGCCTTCGTTAACCCTCATCAAAAATAACCAATCAGAAGACGAGGTTATCTCATTGACGTAATCTTCTAGTTCCAGGGCGATCGTGTGATTAGTGGCTCGGCCACAGGGGTGGTGAAAGTCTGGGACATCCGGGACAATTCTCTTAAGCCTGTGATGAGCTCGGACCAGGCTCCTGTGGACCAAACTGACGCCGGCGTGACTGTCAAGCCAAGACGCGTGCGTTGCTTAACAACAACAGAAGAAACAGTTTACTGGGGAGATGATGGGGTTAACATCAAGGCAATGGACTTGAATTCAGGTACAGCAATGAACATGATGCCGCTTGTATGTCAATGTAAACTAGTATTAACGATATCGTAAGTTAATTGCTGCCGTGTTGTTAACCTGTGTTCCCTACAGTACGACATACAGATTATTTTTATACTTTTTTCTTGGCAGGTAAACTTCGAAAGATTCGTAATCACGTGGCACAGTTTGGATCAACAGGTGCCATGGCGACCGCGGGTTCGTGTCTTGTGAGTGCGGGATATGACCTGGACCGAGGAAATGGATACTTGAATGGTAAGTAACAGTGCTCTATGAAACTAATTTTTGTTGCTGTACAAGTGCTTGAAATTATTTTCGATGCCGAACAAATTTTAACGTTGAGTTCTGCAGATGCAACTTTGCGAACGCTTTTTGAATTTGTGAAATCCAGTCACTCTATCCTTCTTTCCACCAAGCTTTATAATATTGGTTAGTTACTTTGTTAATTGAAGGAGCTCAGTCNAGTCATGCACCAAATGGCAGTGGTCCTACCAAGGAAGAGAGGGGTGTTGGGTAGCGCTGGCATTCCCATGTTAATACATCTAGTGCCCGAAGACATAACAATCTATTGGTGAACAAGGGCTGTCGCAAAAGCCTTTGCCAGCCAATTGGTGAGACAATAAATCACATGGGAAACTCTAATTTCAAACCTGGGTAGATAGCATTGCAAGGAACCATGACCAGAATCAAGGAAAACAGTTCCTTCTCCTCCCCTTGACCGTGCTGCTTTCATGCTTTCTTCATGCACTTTCTGCTCACCCCAAAATTTCCCTTGTCAGCTCCCCTTTCAATGCCTGTCAGTTTAGGGTGGAACCTCTTTCTGTCACAATTCTACTGGTTCTATTTTAAGATGTAGGACCTGGATGCATTTGTTTGACTGATCATTTGATTTGAGGTTTGATTAATTAACAAGAAGGGGAATATCAAAAATTATGCATAATTATTATGATAATGAGCTATAAAAATACTGATTATCAAGTGAGACATAACTGTTCATGAGCATTGCTTTACATAGATAATTATTTATTTGATCTCAGCCTTTGAGAACTGAGAAATATAAAAGTTAGAATAGCAAAAAAATTGTTGTCTTTAATTATAAACTAAGCCAGTTATATTGAACACAACTCTGTGGTAAATGTAACAAGTATGATTAGCAAAATTAGACTTCAGTTAAGTAGTGGCAACATGGATGAAGATAATCAAGAACAACTTGGGTCATCAAGCAAATCAGACCAAGGTCATATCAAGTCTGACAGCAATGTCGTATCACCATGCCAACATCAACTACAATTAGCAACTTACAAGCAAAGTTGTGTTAACGTCGACGGGAATGTGAAAACTGAAATTGTTGATGATTGAAAGATGATGCAGATTGAAAGTAATCGGATTGAGAGTCAAGAGTAACATGCATCTTTAAGCAACTGAAAGTCACACCAAGACAATCCTTCGGGAATCCACCCACCTGTGTGTATGGGAAGGCCTGGGAAATGGGGTTGTAAGCATGTAAATCAAAAAAAACTTTGGTGGTAGGGTATGTGTATTTTCTGGAAAAACTTTTAATGCCTGTCATAGAAACAAAACCATTGACCTGACCATAGTATTGGTAACTGTCAGCATAGTTAGTAATTCATTTTATTGGTAGACTACAGTAGGTTCCCATTATCTTGAATCTTGGTTCTCTTGAGGCCCCATTAGAGGTGGCTCTGAGTGTCCCACATCTTGTAATATCCTGTTAATTCCAATTCAAGACCCCTGATTTTCCTGCCCAATATCCCAGTTTATCGGGTCTTAATATCCCATATCCCATTAACTTGCCGCCAAATATCTTGTATCCAGTTAATTTTTTTACCAAAGTATTCTGTATCCCGAAAACCCCTAATAGGACCATGCTCTTGAACCTCAGTACTCTCTCTCTCTCTCTTTAGTACTGTTGCAATTGACAGTAATTTACTGAAGGCTATCCTGGGGYACTACTATTATAGGCAATCTTTTGTGCCGCTCRAATATTTGATATASGGGGATTCTATTTATTTAGAGGCCATACTGTATTTATAGCTTACGATAGGGCCAGTGGGCCGAGAGATCCTTAACTTTGTTCCAAAAAGATAGATTTTGGTTAAAACTTTGCATTCTTCTATGGATCTCTTGGTGTTTGTTTTTCTCGATAGTATGCTTGATTGCAGGTTAAAACAATGTAATACTTGTGCACAGAATTTTGATAGAAAACAGTGGAGAAATACAATGCCTGAAAACTGATGGGTAGCATGAATATGAAATTCCTGATGTATGAGTGATAAAAAAGGCATTACATTTTAGCACTGAAGTGTTCAGATTTCTAACTTAAAAGAAGAGGTAAAAAGTTCAATTTATTGGCAGTGACAATTGTAGCGAGAAGTTCTCGTCGTATGCTTTCCGTTTGACCGCAGGAACGTGTACAAGTAGTTTCTAAGGTTTTTTGACAAAAGGAACTGGGTCACAGGTATTGCATTATCCAATATACATGTATTTAATATCCGGTTCAGCTGTCAAGCGGCTGCAGGTTGCCAAAAACCGTCACGCTTGGCTTGACAGTTAAAATGTTTTAAGTTAGTAATGTTAAGATTTATGTTAAGATCATCTTTTATTTGCCCACGAATCGGTTACATTACCAACCACTAGGCCTTAGATAGTGATATTAGCCAATCAGAAGCTCAAAGCCAAACCATATAACTGGTGGTACGCGCGGGAAAAGTGGCGCGAAAAATTAAAAACTCGGTGGCAAGCGCGGGAAAAATCTTGGCATATGCGGCTGCAATTGCTTTGCCACCTGACGATAAATGGCTACTCTGATTGGCTACAGCGAGTCATAGAAGTTTTCTTTATACAAATTAAATAAGCTAGAATCCTTCAAACGTGTTTAAGTTTTGAATGTTGAATTAATTATAGATAGAAAGATAGCTACCGTTAAAACATTGTATTTTGTTTTCGTTGTAGTTCAAAAAGTCTTATTAAGCAGTAGCGGCGGCCCTAGACTTTGGCAGCCATGCTTGACTATTTGACAAGAGCCGATTGTCTAAGAATTGCTTTACTAATATTTACCACCTTGGTAGGGAGCAAGGACAATTTGCATTATAATGTGCAAACCAACAAGGCACCTATCCTGAATATGGTCCATTGGCCGAATTGTGGGCTTGAGGCAAATCTTTCCTTAAGCATGAATTTCACTTAAGTGAACACTATAGGTTATAATACTTCTTCTAAATTCGTCTAAATAGGATAATCAGTCTTTAAAGTTATATCTACGCCGGTTGAGTTTTTATTCTTAATGTTTTTAGAATTGGTAGCTGCATGTCCTCAAGGTATTATGGGACACGTTTTCAACAAACCCCTAGTTTGTTTTCATACAGAAATAATATTAATTTCTGCTAAAATATGCCTATCTATATCTAAACGTCTTAATCCTCTTATGGATAATCTATTAATGCGGAAGATTCGTCCTAACGGTCGGATAAAATAATGGGGAACACACTTTTGAAAGATTCTTCATTGTTAAGTCGACATACGATTGTTTGGTTTTGGTTACTTGCAAACGTTATGCTTTGAGCTTTGTTAAGCGTGACGAATGTCTTCAATAGTCAGTGTTTATCCGTTGATGTTTCTAAGGCCAAGTCAAATCTGCCGTGATAGCTTATGTACTTACCTGCCGAAAGACCAGTTCTCAGTTGAGATATGCGGCTTTTCATTTCTTAATATTTAATGACAGTTTGGTTTTATCCTAATTTGCAAGATACTTTGGCCCTGGTTATTATTATTTTTTGCCGTTTGATAAGCAAGGTATATATCGTGCACTGAAGTTATGGAGAAGTGAAATGTATGCGGTGGATATGTAATCGTCGACATAGGCAGATATTGACTTGGTCAGCCCTACGTGGAAAACATTTTCCATGTTATTTAACATCAAGAGGGACAAGAGCAGGTATTTTTGCTTATCTAATAGCACTGCTACCTGTTATCGACTTGACGTGCTGCAATGTTATGCCTTGTGAACCTCAGGTATTATTTCACTTTAAAAACAAGGAAAATATATCATTTGTTCACTTGAAATTTAACTTTGTTCTCGATATTTTTGTCTTCAAATTTCGATTATTTTTTCTCTCTTTTTGGAACATACATTATACTTTTCGTAACAAAATCATGGTAGGTTTAAGACTGAGAACTGTGCTCAGCTGTATTTTTGGCTATGCTGTAAAAGAGAGATTGTTTTTAGTTTTTGAATGCAGTTCTACTTGATTTATTTTCTGAAGCAACGCTTTGATGATAAGTCTTTATACATTATTTAAACCTCCTGTATTCTGGTTAAAAAGCGTCAGTGTTTGTCCTTATGAATCGCACAGTGAAAGTTAAATAGTTATACTTACTGACACAGCCTGCTTTGCGTAAACTCAAAGACGCTTTTTAAACTTTATTTTTTTTTATTAATTTTTCTTTTTTGAAGCTTCACAGAAAAATAATTTATTTGACTACCATTGCCTGTGTATCTACTGACTGGGGATGTCGAAGCTGTAGCAACTAAGCAGCGTAAAGCAAATCAAAGTATATGACTGAGTTAAACAGCTCTATGAAAGTAATTTAACAGGTCCCGTATTCGGAAAATACATCTGGTTTGTTATTGGCTCAAAGATAAGGACATGAAGAAATAAGAAGGAACGGCAGCATTTTCATGTTTGCTGAATTTCCTGGTTGTGCGGGCTTTCAGTGGAATAAGAGTGTCATACCCGAAGGGTTTCCCTGTCTTATCTCTCGGTCAGTTCTCGGAGACGCAATTCGAGCCGAAGTAGGTATTTGTTCGTTAACCTTCAGCCGATAACAATCCAAATGTCAGCCAGGAGTCTTCCTACGAGTTGCATAATTTTACAACGTCCATGTATTGTTTGTTAGCATTGGTGTTACCTGCCTCGCAACGCCATGGCACAAGCATTGCTTCGCCTTTGAGTTTA